CAAGTCTAAATTGATCAGATGAGGAATTACCGTCTTTCTGAAATGAATTGAATCCCCAAGTCCAAAATCTATCAGACCTAATCTGACAAGGGAGGCAATTGAAGGGAATTGGTATATGTATGTTATGACCTCCCGAATGTAATGTTAGCAATAGACTGATGATCTGTGCTGCCTCTGAAGGATAATGGAAATGAACAGTTTCACATCCCATCTGTAAATCGTGTGCAATAGTAAGGGAGAATGGTTTTGTATCATTAGTCCTACTACTTTGCAACATTATCGCGCATTTTGTTTCCTTGGAGCAAAAAGATATTTTATCGTCCGACACAAGTATTATTTTCAGATCTTCTGTAAATATCCTGTCAATAGTGTACTCATCTTTACTGCTAAACAAAATACCATTATCACCACATATTAGTTCATCGGAGTCAATAAATGATGTAAGCAGCATGTCAGTACCTGAATTGCTGTCCGTTGTTATATCTTCAAGGTACTTTGATGATATTCGATTCCAACATCGATCAACTTTGATATCAACGATATCTTTGACATGATCTTCAGTAAAAATCATTCTCGGAAAGGTGGTAGTCTTTTCATGCTTCGCAATAAAGAGCCAAAGATAAATTGCATCAAAAAATTGATAAAGGTTACAAACTTTATCTGACTGTGATAGGAATTCAATTAAGGAATCCCAGTCAAGACATAAGAAATCCTTTATCGATAAATCTACCATAATTGGATATTGATGAACAACTGCAGCCCTTCGCTCTGTAATCGATTTTTTTGCAAATCTGGTGATTGATTCCAAAGCAGTTTTAAAACTAAAGTTGTCACCGGAATTATCAGTAAGTATTTCAAAGAGCTTATTGGTAATATCAAAGTATCTGTTGTTTGAAAAGCACTTCTCAAAATCAATATTTTTGAAGAGGTACCCAGACGTCTCCGTTAACATAGTTGCACCAACTTTCTGGTGATGAGTTACAAGAATTGACACAAGAATTCCAACATCTGTTCCAGCTATTTTGATGACCATCTTGAGTTGATTTATAGACAAGTTGTCCAAGTCATTAGCATACTGCTTCAAGAACATACTCTTCCTATTTCTCATTGTGTTCAGCTTATCTTCAACTAAAGAAGTAAAGTTGTTCTTCTTCTGACTCTCTCAACAAACCTAGCCTCCTCTACCACAAACAAAACATCCTCATAACACCTCCCAGTCAACATATCAACATGCTCCGTAAAGTACTCCAAACATCTCTCTGTAAACCAGCTCACATTGAAAACATGTCCCATCTTATTCAGGTCTCTAAAGTTACTCTTATCACACTTCTCCAGTTCTCCACTGTACATAGATTCAACAAAACACCCCACAGCAGGGGCTCCAAAGTCCTGCACGTCCAGAGAAGTAATGTCCAGTCTAGAGATCAGATCATCTATAACAGGGCTGTTTAGAGACAGTATCATTGAATTAGCTCGCTTTATCTCTCCTTCATCACACAACAGTTCCAGGTTACTGTGTGAGCGAGACTTCAGGTGGTGCTTCCCAAAATTTGCTGGTACCACCACTTCTGGAGCCATTTTCTTAAAATAAAGTTCATCAATATTATGACTGCAATTTGTATAGAATATTCATTAGAACAACAGACTAAACTTGATATATCATCAAATTCCATCATTTTGATCGTTTTTTAATTGAATACTGGAAATGAAGATCTTGTTCAACCATGTTCAGCATTTTAATGATCACGCAAAATAGAGTAAAACACATTCAATTAACATCTCAAATGCAACATTTAATGTATTAAGTCAATTTGTAAATTTAACTGGCATTTTTCAACACATGTACCATATTATATTGCAAGATTATGTATAGAATATTATATAACATATATAATTATATACTCATCACGCTGAAATTTATATACTTAAATGAATATTTAACTCTGGTTAAATTACACTGTCAGAAAATTCGCAGTTTAAGAAATTGTGTTTTATCGAGCACCCTCCAAGACACTGTACTACCCACATGAACTGTACACTTGAGTATTAAAAGTAAACTTTAGTCAAGCTTTCAATCTTGACAATACAACAACTCAGCACAGAAACTATACAGAACTATAATAAAGTGAAGTTAAACCGAAAACAATACACACAAATTTAAAACTCATAAAGTTCCGATTCCTAAGAGAAGTAACTGATAGCCATGGGGGTAGGGGACTGCAAGTAACTCATAACCACACTTGATATGGACAACATGAAACTGCTAAATATCTGCTTTGTGTCCTCTGAGCTTCGGGAGTTGGAAAATCCAATAAATGCACAGTACACCTGAAACGGATTTAGTTATTAATATTAAATACATTATATTATGTTGTAAACAATTTGCAACTTCTGGTAGTCTTGATAATTAGAGAAACTTTGAGAAACTTTCAAAGATATTTTAAAGAACGACAAAAACTTAGTTTCGTCTTAATTAACTCTTAATTGAATCATCAAACGGCAAATTCGAGTATGATAATTCGAGTAACTTACAGCAGCCCAAGCAGCCCACTTAAAGCGCATCATAAGACCACACATACTGAACAGCATTGCCAGTAGGTTCATGTACTCTGCCATTGGATCCTCACCCTCCTTAGGGACATACGGCTTGTATCTAACAATCCTGTCTCGTCTCCTGAGATCGTTACAAGAAGGAGCTGGAACCATGATACCTGATTATTACCACTCGTTAATTGTTACTCATAAACCAACATTGTTAATTTCACAGATTTTAGAGCACGTGAGTATTAGCTGCTAGTTAGTGGAGTAAATGAAATTTGCATTATATTATAATATGCAAAGTTATAACTTTATCGTGAGTTCCATGTCAGTACTAACACATTTCTTGAAACAATAAAAATCCAGACATTTTTAAAGATTTTTGCAAGTTTTGTATAATATTATATATCTTATTATTCAAATTGTAACAAAATATGTAGTTAAATAGATAATGCTAGTGTTACATGAGCTGTGATATCTCATAAATATCTATCATTTAACTCTACAATTGATATTTAACTTTACAATTGATATCATAATATAACAATATGATCATGTCACAATAATAAATTAGCTGTACAAAAATATAAAATAAAATATATTGGAAACACTATTCATATACTATTTAAGTGTACAAAAATGAATAATAGAATTATAAAAACATTCTTGTAAAAGTTTAAAGCACTATGAAGCTGTCATCAAGTCCACAATTCCAATAAAGTGTCGTCAGTAGCTTAAGTCAGGATAAACCGGGTATAAATTCCATTACAAAATTCCAAACAAAACCAGACAATTCTTATCATGCTCCAAAAATAGTCGTCTGCTTCCGACAAGGAAATAAATAAACATGTCAGAATCGGGGTCTGCTCTGGTTGATCCATAATATTTACTCCAAATATTCATAAGAACTAAAATAATATTATACTAAAAAATAAGTTAATGACGATAAAAAACAATTAATTGGTAGAATATGGAAATTTAGAAACCACGATGCAAAGGGTAATGGATGGTTGGCACTTGTTATGTACCTTACTCGGGATTATTATAACCGGGATAAAGTGGTGGGTTTTGGAAGATTCCGCCATATTTTTCCCGGTCAAAAATTTTACCAGTCATAAAAAAACCCGCCGACTCAGATTATGGGGTTCCAAGGGGGTGGTGATCATCATATTTTACCTGAAGTCTCATATGTGCTAGAGAAGACTTTTGAAGCAGTGGATAGAGGGCTGTAACTTTATTGGCGGTTGCTACCATAATTTCGTTATAAAAATCACAATTTGGTTATAGAAATCAGATTTCAGGGTGGACCGTGATTCTCACTTCTCTTGCCCATGAATCAGTGAATCGTAGAGAAGAGAGGGGACATTAGCGATAATGAGAATGAGAATACGCTTTAATGAAGATTTGACTTATTATTGCTATAGATTTATTTTCCTTTAAATAGACGTGTCTTTTTTTCTATTTCTGAGTAATATCAGTAACTGTAAATTGAAATAACTTTTTAACAAGTAACAAAAACAGAAATTTCGGTTGAAAATTTGTTGATCTCTGAAAAAAACTTGAAAGGTCGGCCACCGGTAAATACATGACCGGGATAATTTGGCGGGTTTTGGGAAAGTCCGCCATATTTTTCCCGGTCATTAATTTTCCCAGTCATAAATTAACCCGCTATAATATTCCCGAGTAAGGTAGCCATATTAAACTGTCTCAAAGAAATAAATAATATATGTATAATAAACTGTAATAGGTATAAACTGTGACTGCAAAATGGCAAAATTACAAACCGCTGAGGCCTCAGCTGGTAAAAGTATTATATACGCTAACATGTTATTTAACATGTACTTGGAGATAAGCTTAGGTGCAACTTATAAAAGTCTCAAAAGTATGACAAAATTCTCCAGTAGCATATTTGTTTATCAAATTGCATGTTGATGGTGAGGTCGCCCAATATTAAGGTATTAAATTAAAACAGAACCTGAATCGAAACATAATGTTTACTTCTAGCTAGTTATCTACTTATTCATAAGGTCAATCCATTTCAGTTCATTATAATCAGAATAATCTCCAATATCAGATAATTTCTCCCTGAATGATGCATGAATGGCATCAAGGTCATTTTTGTAATCGCTTTTCAAATTGTTCATAACAGTCTCTAAACCTTTCAGATCAAAAGACCTTTCTTCTCCCGACTTACAGGAAATAACATCACACTCACCTTCAAAACCGTCATCTACTTCTTGCAAAGAGGTATTAACACTTTTATTTACAGACGGAGTCCGTCTTTCATAGTCCATCAATCTGTCCTTGTAAAAGTTAACTTCCCTGAGAGTGTTGGTGTGTTTACTGTCCAGTTCGTTTTGTAAAATATTCACAAGCTCGGACAGCTCCCAGAAGGTTTTCTCTCTTTTCTTTAGCTCAGATTCAGCAGCCTTTAATTCATCCAGCTCTTCATTTTTACCATTTATTACTTTGTTTAATGAGTTTACTTTTTCGTTCAAGTTTTTCACAGTTATTGCTATATTGTGATCACTTTCTCTTGCCTGTTCACTTTGGTTGAATCTTGAGGCAAATTTCGTACTGAGCTGATCAATTTGGCACTGTTTTTGAACAATAGTAGAGGCCTGCTTGGCAAGCTTCGTCTCAGCATGACACAGTTTTCTTTCTTTATTGGCAACAGCTTTTTTCAGAACAGAAATTTGCTTTCTTAGGTTATGTGAATTAGATGTAGAATTCACTTCAGGTTCAGTCATGGTCCCACAATTAACCAATATTGACGAACATAAGGAGACATTTGATGTCGACTTATCAGAGAATTCAGCCATATTGATCAGATTGTCCACCTTCTCCTCCATCTCTCTTTTGTACTCATGATGCAAAGCTTCTTTAGATAACAGTTCATCCTTGAGGGCAGCTATCTCTGAGGAACCTCTTCTCTTTAATGATTCCATGGCTTTGGCAAGTTCCTGATATTCAATCTCTTTGTTATTCATTACTTTTGAATCCATCGTTTTCTCCTCAATCATATCCATAACTTTTCTATTTATAAACGAATTTTCTTTCGTCAATTCCTCAATCTGAAGGTTTTTATCAGCTAATTCTATTTCAAAAGCAGCCAATTTTTGATGGCAATCCTCCAACTCTTGATTAGTGCAGCTGTATTCCATCTCAACATCTTTACATTGACTGCTGAGCACAGCTAGGCTAGAATTACATTTTTCTAGCTCCTCGACAAGATTCATATTCTCTGCTGATACTTTGGTCAGGCAATCCTTGATAGAATCATGCTTCGAAATCCAAGAACTCAGGTCTCTATTTACAACAATTTTCTCATTTTCAGCAAGATTGAGTGTGTGTTTGTAATTATCCACCTCAGTTATGAGATCATTGAACTTTGATTCTATTTCTATATAACATGTTTTGTAATGCTGAATTTGAGCATCTTTTTCTCTTACCAGTTCAAACTTAAGATCGTTTTCAGCTTTTAATTCATCGTTAATCTTTTGAAATGCGTTCAGTTTTTGATCCAAGTCATCAATAACTTTGCTAGCTTTCTTAAGGTTTTCTCTTTCTTTCTTGATAATCAAAGAAGATTCAGCATTTGAAGTATTGGATGATTCGTACTGTTTCCGTATCTGCTTTATTTTTGAAGCTTGTGATTCACATAAGCAAGAAAGCCTGCTTATTTCATCTTGACAGTGCTTTATTTCATTTTCCCTAGAATCAAGATCTTTCTTCAAAGAGGTAACATGAACATTGAGCTGCAACACTTCACCTTGCTGGTTTACAACATTGAAGTCTCTTTCAGCTTCCTGTCTGACTCCAAGCTGGTTCAATTCACGACTGTGCTGAATTGATTCCTCATAAAATGAATTAACTTTTTCTTCAAGAACACTGACCTTCTCACTCAAAACCTCATTCTCCCGAGACAAGAACATGTTTTTAATATTTTTCCGAGATTCGTCTGTAAGCTTTCTATTCACAGCTTTCATTTCATCATCTGCTATAGCTAAAGATTGGAGTAACTTCTCATTTTCTTCCTTTGTATTTTCAACAACTAACTTGAACTTCTCATATTCTTTCAATTGCTTCTCAGTCTTAGTCTCGAACTCAGAGGAAAGCTCATGAATCTTTTCTTTACTCTGAGAAAGTTCCTTCATAAGATGGGATTCAGTTTCTCTCCACATAAAAAACTTCTGCTTCCAATGAGTGTTAATATCAGCAATGCCATCATCAGCTAACTGGATCACATTCCTTAACTCATCTCGTTCTAATCTGAGAGAACTATTTTCAAGCGACATCCGACTCATGGTAGCATTTTGTGCATTCTGATCATTCATCAAGTTTTCAGTTATCTTTTGAAGATGTTTTATCTCTTTTCCAGCCTGCTCAAGATCATCTTGAAGCTGTAAGATCTTTAGGTCTTTAGACATATTATTTCTGCTATGAAATGTCTGTTGAAATCTACATCCTGAAAATAATTGAAATAATGTTTAGATCTACTAGAAAAATCATTGGAGAGTTACCAACATTTTTAGGAAAAGTTTTGACGTTTTTCGAAAACAAATTATCATATTATCTTGAGGATAATTTACAGTAAATTACATATAAATGGCATGTGCCACATGTATAAATGACACATCTATAAGTTTATCATAGTTCAGCCAAAGAGACTTGCGGTAATCTGAGATAAAATGCTTAAAATATTAAAATCTTGTGACAAAACTTGATAATTTCAAATACCAGGAACATTTTCTTATTAAATGATGCATTAAGTGCTGATAAATATCATTGAAATATCATTAATTAATCAAGACTTAATCACTTATGCAGGAATAAAGCTCAGCAAAGTTCTTATTTCTATAATAAAATGATGACAAAATGTAAAATGCACAACTTCATAAAATAGCTTTGTCACTGCCTATAAAAATGTATTAAGCTTAGGAAATGCATTAACTTTGCTCACTACAATTTTCTTGTGCTGCTCTGATATGTAACCCTTAATGTAACCATCATTGATCATATTAGCAAGGATGCACTCAGTTTCATCTGAATCAACATCTTCAAGTCCAAGCCAATTCAATGCTGTTTTGAATCTTGCCACATCAATTTGAAAAGAACCAGTGATGAGGTAAATCTTTTTAAAGAGATTCCTGAGAGTTATGACTTTGAGTTTTTCTAGAATGAGGTATATTCCAGCTCTTGTAAAGAAAGCAGCATTCTTTTCGATAGCTTCATTAAGAAGTTTGATATTACCTGTTTTAACAGCTTCAACAACGTCTTCAAACTCACACAGGTTGTATTTCTTCAATATTGATACCTTAGGCATGAAGCCAAGAGTCATCTTTACCGGGATTAGGCATATAAGAATCTTTCTCTTATTACTGGTGCAACTTTTCAAACAGTTCTCAAAGGAAAATGAAAGACATTTGTCAGCACCCTTGAATTCATTCTCGAACATATGCTTCATACCAACAAAGTAATTGTATGTTACCCTGTCAGCGATAGAAAACAGGTCTTTGATGTCTTTGTTTGCAGCGTTGGTCTCAATTGCAATAATCAATGGTTTACACAAGTGAAGCTTATTTGTTTTGAAGTAGCATTTGAATAACAGATTGATGATAGGCATCAGTCCCCATCGCTTTGTATACTCAATACTTGTTCTAGAATCACTAGCACAAACTCTGAAAACTGTCATGAGCATATCAGCACATGCATCAATTTTTGATCCTACCATTTCACCATTTGCGACAGCAACAATATCAGCTTTTACAGCCAAAGAAAACATATCCTTTATCATGATGTTCATCATTGGCAGGCCCCAGTTGTCTTCCTTCTGAGTTTTAAACATTCTGGCAAAAATCTGAATAACATTGCACTGATGATTAAATGCTGTGGCAAAATCATTTGCAATTACTGCATCGGAACATTGGAAATGTTCTAACATCATCTGATCGAATGGTGGATCCAGATTTATATTGTTAAGGTTCCAATTTCTCAACGAAAATGGATGATTTAAAGACATCAAATCAGCAAATTCTTTTCCATCATCGTTTTCTAATGCAGCTTTTGCAGTTGAGAGCAGCTGTTTAAGAGGATTAGGCCCTCCAAAATTCATAATCTTCTACCTGAACCAAAGTCAAAGTAAATAAATATGGTCAAATAATTGTAAAAACTTGATATCATGGCCGAGCATAAACAAAGTGTTCAGAGCCACTTAACAAAGTAAACAGTTACAGTGACATACTACAGTAAAACCTTGACTTACTGCAGAGTTTAGGGAAGGAAAATAAGTCAGGGTTTTGCGTTAAATGAGGGTATGTGTTTAATTGTGAAAGAAAGAAAGAAAGACACATTTTTTTTGCTTGATGCTTGAGAGGATAATATTCTGCAGTTTTTGAGAAAACCAAATACTAGAAGGGCTGCAACTTCAGAAAGGTTGCAAAACAAGCAAAAGAGTATTTTGAGAACCAATGAAATCGTGACTGACTGTCTGCAAAGATGACAGACAGTTCCTGGAGACAAACTTAACTGAGGTAAAGCGAAACCTTTCTTCAAAATGCCTTTCCCTAAACATTAGCATTTTAATCAATTCATTTTCGTGTAAGAAATTTGATTCATCAGAGCTTACATTTGACATTGCAATTGTAATTGGTGGCGATGGAGCACCATGATGTATTTCATCGCAGAACAACACGAAACATACATATAAAGTATTTATACTTAATGAGCAAATGTGTTGGTGAGACACTATACTACTAGGCATATCACTAAGGAGAACAATCAACAACGACAATGAAACAAACAACAATGCAAATTATAACCAGCAAAGTTGTTTATAATTTCGCAATGTGAAATTTTGAGATTTTCTGTTATAAACTGAATATACTCAATGAAAATCTGACATTTTTTCGAAGCAGCGTGACCAGTGACCCTTTTTTAAAAATAACTTTCGGCAAAGATTTAACAAATTTCTCGTGCCGGGCTTTCAGTCCATATAATGTTATTATAATATTATTAATAAACAATGGAAAATAAAACTAATCACTATAACAACTACAAAACAAAATTTAGCAACGAGGTGACCCTTTACATTACAAATTACTGGACTGCGCCGCGCATCCAATAATAAAATCAGTAAGATGCACTTGACATACGTTGCATGCCACTTTTCGCGCGCGAAGCGTATCCATAATATTTCTGATATTTTTACTGGGCCGCGCTCAGCCTGTCATTCCGCCAAATCTTTATTCTTTATGTTAATGAACATAATAGCCTGGGGTCCTCAGGTAATGATATTTGGATACGAAACATGTATCAAAGATGCACAATGCACCTTAACTGGGCCTCGCCAAGCTGTGACGAGCGTGCTAAATCACTCAACAGTCGATCTTCGAGATTATTCTAAAAGGGCCCCCGACAGTTGAAACCAGCTTGAATCGATGTATTTTCGGCTGCTGATTCCGAATCACCCCCCATGACATAGGGTTAAAATGCTCCCCTGCCGAGATATTTGCAAAAAACTGTCTTGATCACGTGATATGACCGTATAAGGAAGTTGGTCGAATTTCTCGTTAGGGTTAGGGTTTCAGCATATGCTTTTGTTAGGGATTGGGTTAGGGTTAAGGTTGGCATCAGATTAGAGGGCTATGATTTCGAATAGTCATTCAGGGCCACCAAGAGAACGTGTTTAAAAAGTCACGTGACAGTCGAGTGTAGATTAATTGACGATGTCAATTCATGGCAGCTCGGCGCGGCACAGTAGCGCATCTCGCCGATCTAGCCAGGAGAAGTGAGAAGCTGTGAGAAGCCTTATTGAGTGCGCGGCGCGGCACAGTAACGCATCGCGCTACAAAGTGTAGAGTGATTAATCATCATCCAAGCTGTGAAGGATTGACATTGTAAATTAAACGCCTTACATTTGAAATATCAACATCGTCAAGGATCCTTGACCAAAATATCGATATTTTTATAATTTAATTGACGATGTCAGTTCTTCGCAGCTCGGCGAGGCCCAGTAGCGCATTTTTCCGATTTAACGATTGCTTGCGAGAAGCATAGCATAATTGGGTGCGCGGCGCGGTCCAGTAACACATCGCGCTACAAGTTTATAATCTACCAAAATTAGTTACGCCTGCCGAATTTAACTATTAAATTAATTCGTCGGATCGCGATTTCTAGGAACAAATATTTTGCAATTATAATTTCTCCTCAATGATATTTAAGCTAAGCAAAGCAAAGTTCGGCGCGCGCTTTGATATAATGCAATATTAGGGGGTGCACGATAAAATGTAAAATAAATTTGCTCAGATTTTAAAATTTTTTGTACCTGTCACCAAGATGTAACCCAACTCAAAAAAATGCGCGCGACAATCAACTCCAGAAAATGCGCTGGGGGGTCTACTGCCTCGTAACACAGTGCTGAAACGTATATTTACATATATAAGTAACATAAAAGCCGCGCAATTATGGAGTTGGGGAATTGAGCCGCGGATTTTCTGGAGTTAATCACGACCTGGTGAGGGTTAGCCCCTCAGATCGACATTATGCCTGCTGGTCTCACCAGTAGGCATTATATATTTAATTTTCAGCACCTGTCGGCTGATTTATACTCAGTAACTTTGCATTAGTGTTTCATATTCTTTTTTGTTTGAAAATGAAAAGGCTTTTATCACAGTTAAACTGAATAATTTAAAAATATCAGTTGGAGATAATGTCACTGGTATCATGTCGGAAGTTTGCTGCTTATCATCAATGACTATCACTGCACGGTGCTGTGTTACATCTGATTCTTTTACACGCTGGACGACAAGACTTGTAAACATGACATCGTTCTCTGGATTTGCCACACTATAGTAAAGAGTACGGTAGCCATATGATGGAACGTTCGTCCAGTTTCCTTCAATCATGTGTTTCCAGATCATAACCTCGATAGTCAAATTGTTTGTGGCAGTCAGGAATGTGGTTAACATGTCTTGATTTCTTTCCACAGCCCAAACTGGAGATTAAGTGAAGCCGGCTTACTAAATTGAAACCACCAACTTTCTATAGTTACTTACTTCCGGCTTCTTCTCTTCTTTTTTCCTGCACAAAATATCGGTTCAGATAGTTAATTTAACCAGTTAATAAAGTTGTTGAAATATTGAGCATAAAAACGAGAAATTGGCCGTAGTTAAACCACGCACGATCTATTTTCATCTTCAGACACAGTAAACCAATATTCCATCATCTTTTGATGCACAATACACATGGTTGCATCTCTGGAAGGATACTGATCATAAAACTGCTGTCAAATGGAACCGAAGAAGTTTTGAGGAAATCATTAACATCAAAGAAGAACGATGTTTGGAACAAAGCCACTGTAACAATATCTGAAAGCTTTTAAAGCGAAGATGATTCTGTGGGTACTTCTAAGCTTCTACAAGTATTCCTTAATTGTGATAAATTATCAAGCAATGCAAATGAGAACCACTGGTATCTGTCAATGACGAGGAACTGTCCTTCGGAAATGTCCTGACTGAAGATTTAAAGGTAGCACTTGTTTCTGACGAAAAGATATCTTCTTGCAAAAAAGAAACAAATGAGCCATTATGAATGCAAACCACACCCATAAATTCTCAAGAAGATGTTCACATCATTTTCGCTCAAAGTAGTGCAAGAAAGAGAGTTAAATAAGATAATGTAGAAATTCGATTATCATGACGTGATAAAGCACACCAGAGTGTTAGTTTTATATTACGTATAACGTCAGGAAATAACCAGACATCAGTTTACCCTGTTCCATTTAATATTAATCCATCTTGGTCTGGATTTTGGCACTGGGGTTTCGTTTCCTTTAATAGATACGGTATTTGTGATAGTGGTCCTTCCTGCCGTTATGCTTATTGTCACGACAAGAATGCCAAAATATTATTTAAGGCTGTTGTCAGTGATAAATAAAGAGACCAGTTGTAGTTTGTGCCGAACTCAAATTATTTTCAGTTTCGACGGATTTCTTATGTTTCTTTAACTTCACTCTACAGTCTACAGTGGGTCGAAACTCACAGCTAAAAATACGAATTGTCCCATACAGGGTTATTGTCAGCTCCAAATTATGATTTGGACATTTGTTGACTAGGAATGACTATCTCCTTTATATATTGGGTCGTCTTAAATATGAGTAACCAAATTGGTCTGGCACTTAAGCGGCCAGCCCCAAACATTTATCATCGCATTTATTTCGCCCGTGGTAAATGGTCACAAGGCTCTTAAGATCCCCTGTTTAAATATGTTTCGTAGGTTTTTGAAAAGATCTATCAAAAATGTACTTTATTTTTTTCCAAATTGGGACTTTTTAATCAATTAATTAGAGAATAAAACACAAATGTCATTTCTTTATGGCAATTTTTTTATGATCGGTCTTAGATGAAGTTCCCACATTGATGGGGCGTTTATCTTTTTCATGTTAAATTTCAGGTCAAAGAGAATTATTACGTAGAATGATAGTTTAATAAGCAAAGATCAAATTTTATATTTTTTTGAATTGGCGACCATTAGATCTCAGGTTTTATTTTATAAGTTGTTCATATGTTTTGAAATACATAAGAAGCACTGAGCACTTAAAACCTTTCAGAAACGAGTTGTATTACTCAAGTTTGAATATCATCCTTTACCAACTTTTTACAAATAATTGTTTTCCTGTTCCATTATTCGTTGTAACTGCATTGTGATCGATCTGCTGAACCTGTCTGAACTGTATTGTTATTCCTGTAGCCAAGCCCAACACTATCAAAATAATTTCATTGATATACTAAACAGGTAAACAGACTCTTGATATAATCAAACTTCAAAATAATATTTTAGTTCATAGTATTGATCAACTTCTTTTTAGGTTGTTAAAATTCTCCAAAATGGCTCCAGAAGTGGTGGTAACCAGCAAATTGTGGGAAGCACCTCCGAAGTCTCGCTCACACAGTACAACCTGGAACTGGTTTGTGGTATTGAAGGAGAGATAATGCCCGAAGACTACGCCATGATACAGTCTCTAACAGCCTGTGATAGATGATTGATCTCTAGACTTGACATGACTTCTCTGGACGTGCAGGACCTTTGGAAGCCGGGTGTCTGTGGGGTTTTGTGTTGAATCTAAGTACAGTGGAGAACTGGAGAATGTGAATAAGATACTTTAGAGACCGTGAATAAGAGGGGAAATGTTTTCAATGTGCGCTGGTTTACAGAGAGATGTTTGGAGTACTTGACGAGCATGTTGAGATGTTGACTGGGAGGGTTCTGAGGATTGTTTTTGTTTGGGTGGTAGAGGAGGCTAGGTTTGTAAGACAGCAAAGAAGGACAACTTACTTCGTTAGTTGAAGATAAGCTGAACACAATGAGAATAAAAAAGATATTTTTTCTTGAAGCTTATACTAAAGATCTGTACAGTATTTCTATGGGTCAACTTAAGATGGTTATCAAAATGGCTGGATCTGATGTTGGAATTCTCGTATCGATTCTTGTAACTCATCACCAGAAAATTGGTGTAGCCATGTTATCAGAAACCTCTAGGTACCTCTTCAAAAATATCGATTTTGAGATGAGCTTCTCAAACAACAGATACTGCGATATCACTAACAGGCTCTTGGAAATACTCACTGAGAATTGCAGCGATAACCTAAATTTTATAACTGCTTTGGAATCAATTGCCAAATTTACAAAAAGATCAAATACAGAGCGAAGGGCTCCAATTGTTTACCATTATCCAATTTTGGTAGATTTACCGATAAAGGATTTCTTATGTCTTGAATGGGATTCCTTAATTGAAGTCCGTACACAGTCAGATAAAGTTTGCACCTTTATCAATTCTTTGAATGCTATTTATCTTGGCTCTTTGGGGACTACCACCTTTCGAGAATTGAGATTACGGAAGATATGTTCAAAGATATCGTTGATATCACGCTGGATCGGTGTTGGGATAGAATCTCTTCGAAGTACCTTCAAGATATATTAACTTGCAACAAAATAGGTACTCGACATACTGCTGAAATCATTTATTGACTCTGATGAACTATCATGTGATGATGGTATTTTGTTTAGCAGTGAACAGGAGTTCACCATTGACAGGATATTTACAGAAGACCTGAAAATAACACTTGTGTCGGACGATAAAATCTCTGCTTGCACTGAAGAAACAAAATGTGGGATAATACTACAAAGCACTAAAGTAAATGGTGATGATGACACCAATCCATTCTCTCTAACTGTTATGATAGCACATGATGTGGAAGAAGCTGAAGGGTGCGACAATGTGCACTACCACAATCCTTCTTCAAATCAGACCGTTAGTTTATTGATGAGAGTTAGTTCTGAGAATGTCACAAGAACTTTCCCTATTCCCTTCAATTGTCTACCCGTAAGTTTAAATATTTCTGATGGATTTTGGAATTGGGGATTTCTCTCTTTGGAACAGCACAATATTCTCTCTAAGGGCAGTTCTTGTAAACGTGGGTATGGTCACAATAAAAATGCAAGAGTTGTGTTTATGACAGTAATTACCGATCTTTTAAGATGAATCAAACGTTTTTTACTTATGCACTGTTTTACTAACATAATAACATGGATTTGATTTGTATTATGGATGCAAATACAATTTAAATCATTTAAGAATTACCACAAACAGATCATTGATGGTACTAAATTATTGTACGAATATTGTCTTTCTCCAATTTTAGGAAAAAGATGTTGAAATTAATGTAATGTTGAAATTAATTATGTGTATTTTTCTTTAAAATCTTTTCTTATTTTGATTTTAAAATTCAGTTCACAATATCAAATTGAGGTTCTTTTTAGGCGGGTAATATTCGTTATTCTTCTCCCAATTTGAGTGTTTCTACAATCACATCAATTTTCATTTCAAAGATTATACTTCTTTGACTATAATTAAGTTCCGTAATTCAGGTTAAACTGTATAGTGTATCTTTTATTCCTTGTATTCAATCTCACTCCAGGCTACACAATATTAATTGCTATAATAATAAATTGGCTCTAATTCTAATCAATACTTCAATGCACGATGGCAGTCAAAGGTATTAGTTATAGTTAAGTTCTTTTAGGTGGTTTAAAATACCTCAACATGGCCCAAAGGGTGGTACCACAATTTTGGAAAGCACCACCTGAAGTCTCGCTCACACAGTAACCGGAACGGTGTTTAATGGAGGGAGAGATAAAGCGAGCTAATTCATGATACTGTCTCTATCCAGCTCTGTTATAATGATCTGAATCTCTAGACTTTGACAGTACTTTCATCTGGACCTGCAGGACTTTGGAGCCGGTGCTGGGGGGGTGTTTTGTTTGAATCTATTGGCCAGTGGAGAACAGGAGAAGTGTGATAAGGAGTAACTTTAGAGACCATAATAAGATGGACATGTTTTCAATGTGAGCTGTTTACAGAGAGAATGTTTGGATACTTTACGGAGCATTTTGATATGTTGACTGGGAGGTGCTATGAGGACGGTATTGTTGTGGTAGAGGAGGCTAAGTTTGTTGAAGAGAGTCAAAGAAGGACAACTTTACTTCTTTAGTTTGAAAACATGCGAACACGATGAAACTAGGAAGAGCATGTTTCTGGAAGCAGTATTCCAACGATCTGAGTAACAGTTTCAAATAAGCCAGCTAAAAAGGTTGTTAATCTAGCTGGATCTGATGTTGGTTACTCGTTCATATTCTTGTCGGCTTCCTGAAACATACTGGAGCTACTTCTTTTGTTGAAACCTCACGTTTTCTATTTGAAACATTGAGTTGGGAATCAGGTTTTTGCAAGAGAAGGTTTCATGGCATAACCATGGAATTATATGATATCATTATGGAAAGTTTTAATGATGATTTCAAGTCTGCGGTTACAGTTTTTTTCTCAAAGCGTGTATCAGAAATAAGCAACAAAAAAGAACCGATAAAGTACCCTATTTTAACTACTCTACCTGTACAAGAATTCCTGTGCTATGATATAGACGCTTGCCTTGAGTTTGTCTTTCATCTTCAGAAGAGATAAGCAATATTCATCATATTTTCGATGCCCTATACACATGGATGCATCTCTGGAAGGATATTGATCCTAGAACTGCTGTAAAATTTGAACCCGAAGGAGTTTTGGAGGAAATTATAATATAAAAGAAGAACGATGTTGGAACAAAGCCTCTGTGCAATATCTTGAATCTTTAGACGGATTTGATTCTGTGGGTACTTCTAAGCTTGAGCAAGTATTCCTTAACTGTAATAAATTATCAAGCAATGAGAACCACTGGTATCTGTCAAGTGACGAGGAACTGTCTTTCGAAAATATCCTCACTGAAGATTTAAAGGTAGCACTTGTTTCTGAAGAGAAAATATCATCTTGCAAAAAAGAAACAAAATGTGCCATTATGATGCAAACCACGCCCATAAATTCCAAAGAAGATGTCACATCATTTTCGCTCAACATACTGCAAGAAAGAGAAGTTTAAAGAAATGATAAAGTTCTTTATCAATGACGTGATAGAAGCACACCAGAGTGTTAGTTTTATATTACGTATATCATCAGGTAACAACGAGCCATATGTTCTCCCTATTCCATTTAATATCAATCCGTCCTGGTCTGGATTTTGGCACTGGGGTTTTAATTCTTTCGTTGGGGAAGACGTTGTTCGTTCTGGTCCTTCCTGCAGTTATGCTTATTGTCTAGATCAGAATGCTAAAATAGCATTTAATGCTGTTGTCAGTGATAATTAAAGAGACTAGTAGTGGTTGTGCCTACAAAATAAGCTTATTTGTGACGGATTCGTTATGTTTCTTTAACTATGATTTGTCAAAAACGCACACGAAAAAAGTTTTCCTGGGGGGGGGGGGGGGGGGGGGGGGTGGATTTTAGTAGTTTCGTGAAGATCTTTATTTGAAAGTACTTGTCCTAAATAGGTACACCTAGCTAAAGGCATTACTAAATATATTTAAAGCGTTTTAACGAGTGTTGACTAATATATTATATAACTCCTTTTATGACATTGGGTTGTTTTGAATATGATTCAACAAAGTCTGGCACTCAATGGCCAGTCCCAAAAATCTTCATTGGCGTTATGTCGGCTCTATGGTGAAGTTTTCATCAATTGCTCTTTTAAAAATTTACTGGTTTTACAGTGTTTTTGAAAAGATTTATCACAAATATAGGTTTTTTTTCACCGATTCACTAATCAATACTTCAATGCACGATGGCAGTTCATAGTATTAATCAACTTCTTTTTAGGTCTGTAATATTCTCTAAAATCTCCAGGATGGTGTACCAGCAAATTTTTGGAGCTCCACCTGTAGTCTCGCTTCACACAGTAACCTGGAACTGTTGGTAATGAGGAGAGATAAAGCGAGCTAATTCAATGATCCTGTCTCCTAAACAGCCCAGTTATATATGAATCGGATCTCTAGACTGACATTACATCTCGGACGTCAGGCGACTTTGGAGCCGGGGCTGTTGGGGTGTTTTGTTGATCTAATGTACAGTGGAGAACTGGAGAAGATAAGTGATAAGAGGTAACCTTTAGAGACCTAATAAGGATGGGACATGTTTTCAATTGAGCGGTTTACAGAGGAGATGTTTGGAGTACTTTACGGAGCATGTTGAATGGTGACGGAGGTGTTAGGAGGATGTTTTGTTGGGGTAGAGGAGGCTAGGTATGTTGAAGAGACTCAGAAGAAGAACCACTTACTTCTTTAGTTGAAGATAAGCTAAATACATGAGAAATAGGAAGAGTATGTTCCATGAAGCAGTAATTCCAATGATCTTGGTAACATTTCAATCAGCAGCTTAAAATGGTTGTTAGTTAGCTGGGTCGGATGTTTTATACTCGCCATATCTCGGTCGTCATCTGAAAAAATACTGAGCTACTTCTTTTATCGAAACGTCTCGGGGTTTTTCTATTTGAAAACATTGATATTGATTTTTGTCTTGCAAATAGAAGGTTTCATGGCATAACCATCGAATTATGTGATATGTTTATGGAATATTTCAGTGAAGATTTCAAGAGTGCTGTTATAGTATTTATCTCAAAATGGGTAACAGAAATAAGTTATATAAATGAAACGATTCGGTTCCCTGTTGTAGTTCCTGTTTCCGCAGAGGAGTTTCTTTGCTATGATATAGACGCTGTCCTATGAGTTTTCCTTCATCTTCAACAAAAGTAACCAATATTCAGCTCATTTTGATGCACTACACATTGATGCATCTCTGGAAGAAGACTGATCATAAAACTGCTGTAAAATTAGCACCCGAAGAAGTTTTGGAGGAAATTATTAACATCAGAGAAGATCGATGTTGGAATAAAGCCTCTGTGCAATATCTTGAATCTTTGGCAGCTGGCACTAAGTCTGGCACGAGAAGACTTCTCGAAGTATTCCTTGACTGTGAAAAATTATCGGGGAAAGATAACCACTGGTATCTGTCAAGTGATGAGCAGTTTACCATCGAAAATGTCCTTACTGAGGATTTGAAGATCACTCTTGTTTCTGAAGAAAAGATATCATGCTGTAACAAGAATACAAAATGTGCCGTTATGATGCAAACCACGCCCATAAATTCCAAAGAAGATCCCACGCCATTTTCAATCAACATACTGCAAAAAACAGAAGTTAAAGATAATGATAAAGTTCATTATCATGACGTGATGGAAGCACAACAGAGTGTTAGTTTTATATTACGTTTATCATCAGCTAATTTAAAGACATTCGTTCTTCCTATTCCATTCAATATCAATCCGTCTTGGTCTGAATTTTGGCACTGGGGTTTCGTTCCTTCGCTGGGGTAGGTGTTGTTCGTTCTGGTCCTTTCTGTCGTTATGGATATCGTCTAGACCAAAATGCCAAAATAGTATTTAATGCTGTTGTCAGTGATAAATAAATTCATTTCTAGGTGTCAAAATGTCAAAGTGGGTATCTATGTAATTTCCGTAATAATTTAATGTTACTTTCATGCCCTCAGTTCCCTGTTTAAACTAATATAACAATTAATTAAATATACCATACTTTATACTCATTAACTATTATTTAAATATTATATGTTTTCATTCTCAGTCCTTAAAAGGGCACTCTATTAACAATTTTTTAATGTCCTGCACAGCAGATCAGAGCGTCTTTAAATTATTTGCTATTTTTATTTTATTGCTTTGTAAATTTGACTCTAATTCTAATTCTAAGGTGTTGTGCCGACAAGATACCATGAAGTAAGATACCCATGAAGTAAGATGAATATTCAGCTCGAAAATAATATTACAAGCTTTTTTGAGTAGTGTTGACTAAATCCTATTTTATGAGATTTGGTAGTTGCATCTTTATCAATTGGTCGGTTTATAAATTATAAATCTTTATTCCCTAGGGAAGTAAGAATGGGTTTTTTAAATGTTTAAATATGATAATGTTTTTGATAATATTTAATATTAAAATTTAATTTGATAAATTTTAATGTCGTTGGGCAATTATTTATTATATGTTTTTCCATAAAGTGTGATGATATTTTGTGGACATGTGATGATATAATGTCACAGTTTTACTTTACTTTACTTTACTTTGCTCTAAATATACGTTTTTGTAGTGGTTTGGCATTTTTACCACATTGGTAATTTTGTATCGATTAATTTTAATATAGTCATGTTCTTACGAGTAAGCTTTTTTCAGTAGATATGTAGCTGACAATGACCAAAACTTTAAATGTTTTAAATAGAACTGTGAGGATCAACATTAAATCATGCATTAAATCTCGTGTAAAATAAAATGTATTTGAAATGGTTGTTATACCACTTATTTCAATACATCAGACCAGTTAGGTCTTTAGGTTACCATTTGTCAATTATTGTCTACAGCAAAAATATGAATTGAAAAATAGGTTATCAAGTATTGGTAGAAATTTGTTTGTTACAAAAACTGATTTACTTTTTTTCTGTATCACTTTTTACCCACATCAAAATGAAATGACAGTTAAACCTAGTCAAGTCTCAGAAAGTTAAAATCATGGCTACGATGGAAGATAGAATATTGGGGGAGAAGCTGCACTACTACTGCAGCAGCAGTGAAGGTGAGGAAGAGGAAGATAAAGATGATGTTCAGGTTGCAGAGGACGGTTTTGATGTAGATAAATCCAGGAATACTCAAGCTGACAAGATTGCTGAGAGAGCGTATATGGAGGTTAGTGGCAATTCTTTGTCCCGGCTTAATGTATTTGTTACGTACGGCGCGAAGACAAAACCTTTTGCGCACATCACTGTCAGTTGAAAAGAAACGCGCATGAAGTCGCGCGTGTTATTTATAAAATGTACGAACTTAACCGTAAATCGCTCTCAATTCCAATATTCTAACCTTGATAACTTTATCACCGTTGTTTTATATTATCGTTGTATGTTTCAGGGCCCAAGAGCGCACAACACAGGAATAAAAGGTGTAAAAGAAGATGCAAGAGCTTATAGAAGATACATCTTGGAGAAAGAACAGGAAAAGTTCGACGAGTTAGCGAAGGCAGCTGGACGTTTCGTACTAAATGGTTAGCTTAATTTGTCCCTAATTGATGCTTGTAAATATTATCTAGCATGATATTACGACATTTAATTAAGCTTAATTACGGTTGTTAGCGTTTGAGCCAACCAAAACAAGATGTACAATAACTCTGGACTTCACTATAACATATAATATTCGCTTCAGACCCCGCGAAATCAGATGAATTTGATCTTGATGAAGACGAAGAGTTCATGGCGGCATACAGAGATAAGAGAATGATGGAAATGAAAGAGAAAGCCACTCCTAGATTTGGTAGAATCATAGAACTAACTGAAAGGGACTACTGTGATACAATCGACAACGCACATTCTAGCACGGATGTTGTGGTGTTCATTTACGAGGACCACATTGCAGCTTGCAGAGCGTACGTTTCTGTTTATTGAAATAATTCATATAATTCATAATGCTGATGATTAATAGTTGACTCAATAATCATCATTTGGTCAATATCTAATTCTCTTTTGACTCACAGTTTTTCTTCAGATACATGGAATATTTGCCAAGAATAGCTCAAGAGTTCCCCAAGTGTATGATATGTCATATTCGAGCTAGCAGAGCCAAGATGAGCGCTAATTTTATAAAGAGGGGCTTGCCATGCTTCATAGCTTACAAGTAATGCACTAGTTTTGTAACAAAATTCCATAATCTTGATATTTCATCACTAAGTCTCGCTTGAATGATTTAAATGTACATCTTTGTTGGGTATATTTTAATGTAGAAGCGTGTAATAAATGTTAGAATTTATTTATTATTTTTATTTATAAAATCAACCAGACATTCACTCACGTATATAATGTACATTAAAGTTGTATTTCTGTTAAATTATTTTCTCCTACGAAAACCTGTTTGAATCCAGTGAGTAGCGTCAGAAAGTTCACAATATTATCCTGTAACGTAAATACAGATCTGGAATTACTTAGCACTAACTCGTGTAATAAATTAATCTGTGATCGCAGGGGTGGAGACGTTAAGAAAGCCTGGGTAAATATCCGCGATACTATCGGAGACGATGCAGAGTACGATGTACTGGTTGACGGGATGCAGGACAATTCTGTATTACCGTACAACTAATCCGCACTCAATCAACATTTTATTTTAAGTTTACAATTTCTTGTTTGATATTTTTGTCTTTCTTCACCAAAGTCAGGCATTTTATCACTCCGATATTAACTTGACCATCAGAGAAGTTCGAGTCAGGGTTTAAGATGAATCGGAGATATAGATATTGTTGCTTATTTCTGTCTGAATGACTATTTTTGTATACATTGGATGAAATATTGGATTTGTTTAAACATATTTAACTTTTTTTGAATAATTCATATACCTTTGTTTATTGATATTTCCATGTTAAATATCCATTATCCACCAACAATCATTATCTTGAGGAAGCGAATATTATTGCCAAGCTGTAATAGAGTTGCACATCGGGAATTTATCTGATATTATCGTCAACGCATATGAGTACGGCTATTTAACATAATCTGTTTAAAACTTGTAATGATAACTCTGTAAAGTTTGAAATTATTCTGTCATTCCTATTTTGATCTTGTTTTGATCTTAACTACCATGATATGTTGAATTATTATTTCCGACTACAATAACAAATCTCTTCTAACCTGATGAAGTTATTCATCAATTATAATTATCAACTTTTTTAATCATTAAATAAGGGGAAATTTATCACTAAAATATCGAATAACTCTGTCCTGACTAATCTCGAATAATCTCACGTTAGGAATGTACTATCCAGATCCAAACTCAAGCTATTCAACACTAAACCAGACCAGCAGTAACGCCGCCACACCCACCAACCACCCAAACTATCCCCAACACGGCCCCAGTCCAACTCTAATCAGTACGATAGCCCCTATCAGTACGGTACAAACCAGAACCAGTACAGCTCTACAACACGCTCTCAGAACCAGTACAGCTCTACAACAAGTTCGCAGAACCAGTACAGCTCTACAACAAGCTCTCAGAACCAGTACAGCTCTACAACAAGCTCTCAGAACCAGTACAGCTCTACAACAAATTCGCAGAATCAGTATGGCCATGGGAGCACCCAGTTTGGTGGGGCCAGTACTTACCAACAGTACGGTGAGACAGCTCACTACTCAGTACCTGGTCCTGCTTACCCTGCTAATCCTGGCCGCGGCTGGGACCGTACTTCACAATTGAGTAGCAGTGAGACGACCACGAGTAGTTCACACTCCACTACAGGTTATCAGAACAGTGGAAAATACGCGGGACATCAGGGCGGGATCAGTTACTCTGGTTCAGGAAATCGGCCGAGAGGAAATAGTAATTATCCAAGTAGGGTAGCAAGTAGGGGAGCAAGAGGAGGAGATACAAGCGGAACTAAGTCAACTAAAGTTAGTAATTTTATTATACAGATCATCAACTAAACTAAACTATAAAAGGCCCGTTTTACTTATTTGGTCTCTTCCAAATTTCATTGTTATGGTTTTCTGGTAAACAGTAGTTGTACTTACTATCTTACTTGTTATCACCTCAAATCACCCCAGGTAGCACCGTTCAAAACAGATCATATCTACGATTGTCCCAACAATGGGCAGCCTATCCAATGTATTACTTGTGACGTCACAATGCCTGCCTACAGCATAGCTTCAATACACTTCAACAGTCCTAAACATCATCGCAAGGTTTGTTCAACGCTTCCGTGACTTTATAGCTATCGGACTGCTATAAAGCCCTTTAGTTTTAAAATATTCCGAATTGGAATATGGGTTGACTCAGTTAATGGGCATACCATTAGTTTAGCATATTTAGATTTATGTTTCGCCATCTGCCCGGAGCCAAAAACCGGCCAGTTTAAAAAATTCTCGATACCACATCTCTTAGAACAGCAGATACTTATTCGACCAACAGTGAGTCTTGTGTTTAAGTGACACATTTTATCATTATTACTTTTTGGATTTGTAACTCTCACCGTATTCAATTGAAAACATATCAAATATCTAGTTTCATAACAAAATGTAATTAACCACACTCTTCTCTTTCCTTGACATGATATCCGACCCACTCAGAAGATGAACTCTCTGCACTACCCGACAGAGAAGAGAGGAAACTAGCGGAGATATCTGAGACTGATCCGGATACCATGAAGATGGAGTGTGATACGTGTTCTGTAAAACCTGGGTCTTACAACGGATTCTTATCCCACATGTCCAGTCTCAAACACATCAGAAAGGTGGATACTCACACAATAATGTAAATTTATTCCATGTTGTATGTAAAACCAAATTGTTTTTCTGAAAAGTGGTTGAATCTTGCTTTTACTGAGCACGATAGAAATTATAACCCAATAATTCTTCCAGCTGAACAACATCGGACCAGAAACCAGACCTTCAATATCAAGTGTGCTCCGTGTGGTGAGCAGATGAACACGATAGAGCACTTGCAGGGACACGTTAACATCAAGTCGCACATGGGCCAGGTTGCTAAGATACTGAAGGAACTGTATCCTGATCTCAAGGGACGACGTTAGTGTTTTTTCTTCTTCATATATAACATATAAAAGTGATATAATCAGCATTGAAACCCGCAAATCAGTGTCTAAATATAGCTTAATTTATGTTTTTAAACTGTGTAAGTTGAAATTGAGGAATGTGTTGTCGCGATGAATGCATAGTATGGAGAAGTATTGATGTTCATCTAACAACGCTAACAGTACTCTTCTCTAGTCGTCTCAGTGGCATTGTGCAGCGTGTAACAAGTCCTGTAACTCAATGCAGACGTTTGATACCCACTGTGCCAGTACCAAACACACAAACAAAGTCAACAACCAGAAGCTGGAATCAGTCAAACAGTTGGAGCAGGTGGAGAAAGTAGAACAACAGTCTGATCAGGCGGGGAACTCTTCAGAGGAACCACCACCTCCCCCCAACAAGCGCCGTTCTAAACCTCTCAAGATTGAGAGAGAGGTAGGCAGGATTTTTTAAACTGCATTTCTATTGTAGATACCTGTTTCAATATAATATACATTGTACATTATATACATGTATAATATATAATATACTAGAAACCCGCTAGTCGAAAGCTTTGTTCGAGGAAATTTTAAAAATCAGTTATGTTTTAATTTCTCTTCATCATATAGCTCTGTTATACTGTAGACATAATGGAATTTATCTAACAATGGTGACAGCGTTGTTAGTATTCGGATTCCCAAAACGATACTTTTTACCGCATCAAAAAATACCAATCACAACCAAAGTTATGAATATAAGTCATAGCGTGAGCGTAAATGTGAGCTAGTTTTGAAATTATGACGTAGCATACAGCATAACAACGCGCGTAGTTAAGATGTTCTTGCTCGCGCACGTGCATTTTAACGTTGCTACGCAACAGCGCAGTAAACCTTTGCTAAAATAACGACATTATTCTAACGGTTATTTTACCTCACTTCCGACGTTAATTATAAAAAATCTAAAGCCTAAATCAAAATTCTAAGAATGCTATAGCCTATTCCTATCCTTTTTCTACAACCCTGCTAAAAATGGCGAGGTTTCAACTCCATTTGCGAGCTGGGTTTGATTTCACCAGAGGGTCATTTTGAGGTCGATTTTCGGTGTTTTTTCTTCTATGTCCCCGTTGCCGGGGAAATTTCGTCAATTTTAAATTATAGTATAGATATTATAATTATACATAATAATATGTTCCTACTTTTATATTTGCTGTTCTCAGATTTCTATGTGGAATTATGTAGTTCTGAAGATTTGTTTGCTAGATTTTAAACTTGCTTTACATTTTGTGTGAAGATTCTCAACTTTGTGATAGTACACTAACAAATTATATTTCCCCAGGTTGTTATCCCAGATTTGTATCAATGTAAAGTGTGTAATTTTGGAACTTCTGAAAAGTTCCTGATCGACAAACACTACGAAACAGCGGTAAAGCTCTCAAGTTTTGTTTCACTTTCTTAAAGTTTTCCTTTTTAGAATTTTAAAACATTATAAATTCATTCATAGAAACAAGGTCCATAAATTCTTAAATTATTTAAGTACAATAATCCCACAATAATCAATTAAATAAATATTATCATAATCACAGAGTCACCGAGCTAATAAGTTACTGAAGAGAAGACACGATGAACTGTACAGAGTGGCTGACGTTGGTAAATGTGAACATAAAGGTGTCGACTTAGGAGAAATAGTGCCTCTTAATGCCAAGTAAGTCCAAACTCAGGAAACATAGAGCCTCCTCAAGTATTAGCTTGGGGACATGATTACTTGCCAGATCCTCAAGAATGTTCATTGAACAAGTAAAATAGCTGCCACAATATAACTGTTAACATCTACAGAGGTGCAGTATGTTGTGAGGTATATAACTGTTAACTTCTACAGAGGTGCAGTATGTTGTGAGGTATATAACTGTTAACTTCTACAGAGGTACAGTATGTTGTGAGGTATATAACTGTTAACTTCTACAGAGGTGCAGTATGTTGTGAGGTATATAACTGTTAACATCTACAGAGGTACAGTATGTTGTGAGGTATATAACTGTTAACATCTACAGAGGTACAGTATGTTGTGAGGTATATAACTGTTAACTTCTACAGAGGTACAGTATGTTGTGAGGTATATAACTGTTAACTTCTACAGAGGTACAGTATGTTGTGAGGTATATAACTGTTAACTTCTACAGAGGTACAGTATGTTGTGAGGTATATAACTGTTAACTTTCACAGAGGTACAGTATGTTGTGAGGTATATAACTGTTAACTTCTACAGAGGTACAGTATGTTGTGAGGTATATAACTGTTAACTTCTACAGAGGTACAGTATGTTGTGAGGTATATAACTGTTAACTTCTACAGAGGTACAGTATGTTGTGAGGTATATAACTGCTAACTTCTACAGAGGTACAGTATGTTGTGAGGTATATAACTGTTAACTTCTACAGAGGTGCAGTATGTTGTGAGGTATATAACTATTAACTTCTACAGAGGTACAGTATGTTGTGAGGTATATAACTGTTAACTTCCACAGAGGTACAGTATGTTGTGAGGTATATAACTGTTAACTTCTACAGAGGTGCAGTATGTTGTGAGGTATATAACTGTTAACATCTACAGAGGTACAGTATGTTGTGAGGTATATAACTGTTAACTTCTACAGAGGTACAGTATGTTGTGAGGTATATAACTGTTAACTTCTACAGAGGTACAGTATGTTGTGAGGTATATAACTGTTAACTTCTACAGAGGTGCAGTATGTTGTGAGGTATATAACTGTTAACATCTACAGAGGTACAGTATGTTGTGAGGTATATAACTGTTAACATCTACAGAGGTACAGTATGTTGTGAGGTATATAACTGTTAACTTCTACAGAGGTACAGTATGTTGTGAGGTATATAACTGTTAACTTCTACAGAGGTACAGTATGTTGTGAGGTATATAACTGTTAACTTCTACAGAGGTACAGTATGTTGTGAGGTATATAACTGTTAACTTCTACAGAGGTACAGTATGTTGTGAGGTATATAACTGCTAACTTCTACAGAGGTACAGTATGTTGTGAGGTATATAACTGTTAACTTCTACAGAGGTGCAGTATGTTGTGAGGTATATAACTGTTAACTTCTACAGAGGTACAGTATGTTGTGAGGTATATAACTGTTAACATCCACAGAGGTACAGTATGTTGTGAGGTATATAACTGTCAACTTCTACAGAGGTACAGTATGTTGTGAGGTATATAACTGTTAACTTCTACAGAGGTACAGTATGTTGTGAGGTATATAACTGTTAACTTCTACAGAGGTACAGTATGTTGTGAGGTATATAACTGTTAACTTCTACAGAGGTACAGTATGTTGTGAGGTATATAACTGTTAACTTTCACAGAGGTACAGTATGTTGTGAGGTATATAACTGTTAACATCTACAGAGGTACAGTATGTTGTGAGGTATATAACTGTTAACTTCTACAGAGGTACAGTATGTTGTGAGGTATATAACTGCTAACTTCTACAGAGGTACAGTATGTTGTGAGGTATATAACTGTTAACTTCTACAGAGGTACAGTATGTTGTGAGGTATATAACTGTTAACTTCTACAGAGGTACAGTATGTTGTGAGGTATATAACTGTTAACTTCTACAGAGGTACAGTATGTTGTGAGGTATATAACTGTTAACATCTACAGAGGTACAGTATGTTGTGAGGTATATAACTGCTAACTTCTACAGAGGTACAGTATGTTGTGAGGTATATAACTGTTAACTTCTACAGAGGTACAGTATGTTGTGAGGTATATAACTGTTAACTTCTACAGAGGTACAGTATGTTGTGAGGTATATAACTGTTAACTTTCACAGAGGTACAGTATGTTGTGAGGTATATAACTGTTAACATCTACAGAGGTACAGTATGTTGTGAGGTATATAACTGTTAACTTCTACAGAGGTACAGTATGTTGTGAGGTATATAACTGCTAACTTCTACAGAGGTACAGTATGTTGTGAGGTATATAACTGTTAACTTCTACAGAGGTACAGTATGTTGTGAGGTATATAACTGTTAACTTCTACAGAGGTACAGTATGTTGTGAGGTATATAACTGTTAACTTCTACAGAGGTACAGTATGTTGTGAGGTATATAACTGTTAACTTCTACAGAGGTACAGTATGTTGTGAGGTATATAACTGTTAACTTCTACAGAGGTGCAGTATGTTGTGAGGTATATAACTGTTAACATCTACAGAGGTACAGTATGTTGTGAGGTATATAACTGTTAACTTCTACAGAGGTACAGTATGTTGTGAGGTATATAACTGTTAACATCTACAGAGGTACAGTATGTTGTGAGGTATATAACTGTTAACTTCTACAGAGGTACAGTATGTTGTGAGGTATATAACTGTTAACTTCTACAGAGGTACAGTATGTTGTGAGGTATATAACTGTTAACTTCTACAGAGGTACAGTATGTTGTGAGGTATATAACTGCTAACTTCTACAGAGGTGCAGTATGTTGTGAGGTATATAACTATTAACTTCTACAGAGGTGCAGTATGTTGTGAGGTATATAACTGTTAACTTCTACAGAGGTACAGTATGTTGTGAGGTATATAACTGTTAACTTCTACAGAGGTACAGTATGTTGTGAGGTATATAACTGTTAACTTCTACAGAGGTACAGTATGTTGTGAGGTATGTGAGCTTAGTTTTGCACACGCCCTTCTCCTGGAGATACACAAGCGAGGCAAGCTTCACAAGGAGTTCACATCTAGACTGCAGGGTGCACTCGAACAGGCTGTCAAGGTATTTACTTACTCGCTAATTCTCGAACGGTGATATTGTTTGTTTCATTTGTCAGAACCTATAATACTGAGCTAGTTTACCTACACTACAGTATACCTAATACCTACAGCCCCCACTCTAGTTTACATATTATACTATATACCTTTAGTCCTTGCTTTACAGCTCCCACTCTATCAGATACAGGAGAAAGCAGATACCCCGACTATAAAGGGAGGTCACCACTGTGACGCTTGTAATATTCACACTAGCTGTCTGACTCGTTATCTAGCCCACGTCTCTAGTGAGTAGTTTTACCTTGTAATCAGCTGGTTATGCTGAAATGTTATATATATATTGTGATTGTCAGTGCCAAAATGTTGTCGGGTTTCGGATATGATCGTAAATTTTTCAAAATCAGTCATAAGTAAATTTTGATGATAAACTGTGAACCATTCCTCTTAAGGTACCGCGACAATTGACCCCCCGACAATTGACCCCCCGACAATTGACCCCCCGACAATTGACCCCTATGTTATTACACTTGGGTCAATTGTCGCGAAATCTAGGGTTGAGTACGACAATTGACCCCCCCGACAATTGACCCCCCATGTAATTAAACTGGGGTCAATCGATCGGGTTAGGGTCAGGGTCCTTGGTCAGGATCCTGGGTCAGGGTCCTGGGTCAGGGTTAGGGTTAGGGTTAGGGTTAGGGTTAGGGTTAGGGTTAGGGTTAGGGTTAGGGTTAGGGTTAGGGTTAGGGTTAGGGTTAGGGTTAGGGTTAGGGTTAGGGTTAGGGTTAGGGTTAGGGTCCTGGGTCAGGGTCAGGGTTAGGGTTAGGGTCAGGGTCAGGGTCAGGATCAGGGTCAGGGTCAGGGTCAGGGTCAGGGTCAGGGTCAGGGTCAGGGTCAGGGTCAGGGTCAGGGTCAGGGTCAGGGTCAGGGTCAGGGTCAGGGTCAGGGTCAGGGTCAGGGTCAGGGTCAGGGTTAATTGTAATAAATTATATTGTCGGGGGGTCAATTGTCGGGGGGTCAATTGTCGGGGGGTCAATTGTCGGGGGGTCAATTGTCGGGGGGTCAATTGTCGGGGGGTCAATTGTCGCCCACCCCCTCTTAATGCTCCTACCATCACTTATCAGGTAAAGATCACAGAAAGATGATGACACAGCTAGCTAAAAGAGGTGTAACAGCTGGTGTAACAGCTGGTGTAACCGCAGGTGTAACAGCAGGTGTAACAGCTGACACCTCACAACAGTGTGAACCCACAGCTCCCCCCACTCCCATAGCTCCTGAACAATCAGTTCCAAACATAGGGCAGCAACCTCAAGGTGAACTCCCTACCAGTACCGGGGAATCTAGCAAACATTCTGAAGGTGAGTTTTATATTTATTTCTTCTTATCGAGAAATTATTTGTTCTCTATCTCTAACTCTCTAAGCACCTTACATTTTCTACAGCCCTAAGAAAGCCTCCGTATCCATTTGGAGGTTATGATATAAATTCTCAAAGACTTTTGTTACACCATTTACTTATTGCTGTGATGTCTATGTATTTAGTATTTTCATTCAACTAATAATCTTTCACATCAGAACCAATGAAAGTTCAGAAAAAGAAGAAGAAGAAAAATAAAGATCCCTCAGACATCCTACGTATCAAAGACTATTTACAAGGTTTTTAACTTTAACATTAAGGGCTACTGCTATTATATAATCAGCATTAATTTATTACGCTGCTTTATTCTTCGCAACTTTTGCTTTAATCAATGAATAAATGTTTTTGTGATCTGTTAAGCACATCTAGTCGAAATTTGAATATATTTTCAATACGACGCTGGCTAGCCGCCACCTTTATAAGTGAAATGAACGAGACTATCTCATCATTTAAATGATCGAAATCGTTAATGGTGATATATTTGTTGATGGAGTGTTTTACATTTGATATCATCTTTATATAAGTAACACAGTTGGTTCGAGACGGTTACTTAGCTGAACTCAAGTACTCAAGTAATATGTATTGTCCCAGGCAAACCTTATCATTCTCCTGGTGGCTGAGACGTTAACCTATATCATATAATGATTCAAAGGATAATATCCGACCTAGTAGAGACTTGTTAGGACAAGTGAAACTACTGATTAGGAGGAAACGCGAGCTTTCTTTGTGCTACACTTTCATCAGGCTCAAATTATGTGTTATATAGTTAGTGCTGAAATTACTAAAACTTTCAACACTACTATATAACAAATAATTTGAGCCTGATGAAAGTGTAGCACACTGAAAGGTCGCGTTTCATCCAAATCATTAGTTTCACTTGTCCTACCTAGTCTCTACTACCGGATGTTATCCTTTGAATCATTATCTTTTCATGAGAGTTGAGAGTGATAAACAGCGTACCTCTCCAGGATCTACTATATCATATATTTCGAGACAAAGTTAAAAATACAGGTGATATTGAAATTGGTTTGTCTTCCCTTGCAAAATTTTGATTTATGACCAGCAACTTTCACATTAACACTCATAACAGCGACGAAGTGTTTTACGTTGTACCTAAGCTGAAAGTATACTCGTAAATTTCTAGCAAGTTAACGATCATACTTTCAGCTGTGGTAAAGATTTAGTAATTTGTGATCGCTCACCTAACTCTGAAAGTTTCAGTCGATATGACGACAATAACGAAAGGGAAACAAACTAATTTCAATATCAAAATATGTATGATAAATAATCCTTTTATTTTGAATAGTGAAGAATTGAATGTTAGTGTCAGTCTTTATTGAATCAAGCTAGCTAAGCGCTGACGCGTCGATATTTAAGAAATTAAACAACATTACATTTTTGATTAAATACCTCATGTCTTGTAATAATATGACTGATTTGCCAAGGTTTACCTTCTGATGGTATCCCACCTGAAGCTGTACGTGAGGACGGACGATTCGAATGCAAGGTAACATCTAGAGCACTTGCTCCTTATATTCAGTATGCTTCAATTCATACTGATACCAATATATAACCCCAAACATGTGGCGTCTTAGAAACCCTTTATACTGGCTTACTTGATTTACTATATCTTTTAAAGTTACTGATCCGGAATATATTTCAATATACAACATTGTCATCAGCCTGAAAATATACGTAAATAAAACTTTTAAAGTTGTTAAATTAACAACTTCAGTTGTGCTCGGTGGTGGTACAAAAACAACACTCGTTCATCCAACACAGTCAGAGTAGAAAGCACCGTAACAAGACCAATATCGCGGCTGAAACTTCCGCTGGAGCCACGGGGCCAAAGAACAATACCGTTAGTATCCTCTAGTTCTTATAATTGGGAGAAGTTGTAGTACAAGGTTTCCGTTGATTATGCTATATACGACCATGCTTTGCCACAAAACTATCGTGACAGTAACTGTCACGTGATAGTTTTGTGAGAATTGATGGTATAAATTCAAATAAGATTAATTGTAACAATTTTGACAATGATCATCCCATTCCAGGAGGTGTTCTGCTGCAAGATGTGTGACGTGTCGTGCCCTACCGGGGCGGACACACTGGCACACCTCTCCTCAAAGGAGCATACCCAGGGACCTGCACTAAAGGTAGCCAAGAGGGACAAAAAGGAGACTGAAGGAGATGAGGAGAATGATGATAGGGAGGAGCTGGATGCTTCAGAAATTACAAACAAGTTCTTCTGTGATGTTTGCAGGTTAGTTGTGAGGCGGGATCTCTGTGTCCAGCAAATTTAGTATTCTGATATTCTGTGAGTATTTAATCACTTGGGGGATATTATAGTCGATATTTTGGGTAACTTGTTGTTAAAAGGATTGTCTGTTGCATCTTCTTACTTCTTATTGATTTTGGAAGATAGTTTGTCTCGATAGTAGGGAAGTTGTTAATTATACCCAATATAACATCCCTTCACGAAACATTTTATTGAATATTGATCCATGGAAATATCATTTAGATTGGTCAACACTGAAAGATGATTGGTTGATCACAGTCTATAAAATGTGGTTCACCTCGCCACCAGTACCCACATCTATTAAATACTGTATTTCCTACAATCAAAAGGAAAGGTATTAATCCGACTTCTCCCCTAAGTGTGGACTGTAGAACTGAGTCCTCCTTCAACCTGCACATGAAGGGTGTAAAGCACATGAAGAAACTTACAGCTCTAACGGACGAGGCTGACACCGTGATGGGTAATGTGGATTGTGGCAACAGTGGGGTAAGTTTCTTAAATGGAGCTTCCTTTTTATAAATAGTTCACAAAAGTACTTGTTTCCGTCCAGATCCGTCCATCTTCAATGCTTGGAATAAACACGGGAAGGTCATAATATGACTTGGTCGGGTTCTATCCAATCTCAATCTCACTGTATTATTTGACAACACAACTAAAATTAGTTAAGTTAAGGAACTCAAGACCAGATAATTCACCTCAATCTACTCCGTCAGGTAAGAAAGAACCTGTCCTGTCCCAAATGTCAAGTGCACTGTAAGAGCATAACAAACTACGAGCAGCATTGTGCTAGCTTCGAGCATCTGAAGAAGATGTCACTAGTCACATTCCCAACTCATTACCAGGGTTACAATACTGACAGAGGCCTTGCCAAGTAGCTGGTAACATGGGAATAAGGGATGACACTGATAAGCAAGCTATTAAAAATCCACCCATGCTGTATTATGTTTTAACTTTAAGAGTTTAAGTTAAAGAACTTATCTTCACTATTTACTTTTAGCTTGGCTTGGGTCCTGGATCTTTTAAAGATTTAAGATTTAGACGCATAAATCAATGTTAATTGAAATAAATTAGTGCCAAGAGTCGACAACTGAATTTGTTCCTGTTAAAAATATTATTATTCTGGTGAAACTGGATCGATCCTTGGTGGGCCAACAAAAGTCAGTACCCATACGTTGGGTCTTATACCTCGGCCGTGTTTTATATTTGAGAGTTGTTGCTTTGCAGATGGCATACTGTACCTACTTGTTCGAGGCCTTAGTCGCCAAAATTTTAAAATTCGAATATTTTAAGACCACGCCCATTCAATATTAAAACACCTTTATTGTTCACTCTGAACATGCTGGACGCCTAATTTTTTCAGAGACGATAGATTATCAAAGTATTAAACATTAAACAAATTAGAAATGACGAAGTTATCAAACATTTTGTGTATCTCGTTACCAAAATTGATTGGGTGATTATGTGACACGACACCTTAATTTGGCAGCCTTAACGATTCCCATAATGTTTAACGGGGTGGTTAACGGGGTCACCTTATCACGTGATTAGGTAAGCCGATCACCTGATGACACGTAATGAATAAACTCGTTATGCTTCGTATCTCGGTCATCTGAGAAGCTACATCTCTAATTTGAAAAAATGAACGCGAATATTTTTCGAGTTGACAAATTCCTCGAACCAGTGGTGGTAAGTTAAGTCATACCAGAGTCCAGAAAGAATTATTTTAATTGGGCACTCAGTGACTGAGCTATAAAGGCCAACGTATGGGTACTGACTTTTGGCCCACCCTGTATTTATCTATTATGCTCGCTGAGATTTTATAAAAAAGAAAACACTGTAAATATTTTGAATATCATTTCGATTTGAATCATTATGCCAATTTCCCAGTTTTTTACTTCAACTTCTTGTGACATAAATATTGAAGGTTATGTTGAATTCTCCGTTGATCATACAAAATTTCACGATGACAATATTGATTTTTGTACGTTTAGGTCGAAATGGCACTGACAAATGATTCACGTGGCCGAGGAAATTCGAGAGGCGGACGTAGACAAAGTAGGGGTAAATACGAACAGAGGAACTATTTCCCTCCAAGTGCTTTGATGACTGACATTCACCATCTCCAATACCATCAGAGAGACCCCAACGCTCTGAGTATTCTAAAAACTTACCCTACTCACACTCTTCCTGTAAGACCAATGCCACAACCGAGGGGACCAAAAACCAAGAATTCGGAGAGGAAGAACAATGCTCAGTCACAGAATAATTTTAAACAGGCTAAGCTAAAAAATGATGAAAATGAAACAACTCAGAATAATGTATCTGAAAAAAAGAAGGATGATTCAGGCGAAATTCAGTTGCAGTCATTACTTGAAACACTAAGTTTAACTGTCAGTGACAAAGGCTCCACGCAAGAAAAACAATCAACCTTAAAACAGTTAGGTGTGGATAAAAGAGTGGTATCCATAGAATGGAAGTGTCTTCTGGAAACAGAGGCACATATTAGGTGCGATGGGTGCGGGATCGCACAATTTACCGTTTTCCGCACATTTCCGCATAATTTATTGTTTTCCGCACACTTCCGCACATTTTGTAATTTTCTGCATATTTCCGCATAATCTAGCATTTTTCCGCGTAATTTCGCATAATTTTGAAATTTTCGCGTTAAGATTTTCGAGTGTAAAAACCAAAATATGTTAAAAGTCGGGCCCTTTTAGGATCGTGACTCAGGCCCTTTTAGGACCGTGACTCAGGCCCTTTTAGGACCGTGACTCAGGCCCTTTCGGGACCTTGACCCAGGCCCTTTTGGAACTCATACCTAGGCCACGTGACCCAGTTACCACGTGACCCAGGCCCTTTCGGGACCCTGACCCAGGCCCTTTTGGAACTCATACCTAGGCCACGTGACCCAGTTACCACGTGACCCAGGCCCTTTCGGGACCCTGACCCAGGCCCTTTCGGGACCCTGACCCAGGCCCTTTCGGGACCCTGACCCAGGCCCTTTTGGAACCCATGCCTAGGCCACGTGACCCGGTTACCACGTGACCCAGGCCCTTTCGGGACCATGACCCAGGCCCTTTCGGGACCGTTACCCAGGCCCTTTCGGGACCGTGACCCAGGCCCTTTCGGGACCGTGACCCAGGCCGTTATGGAACCCTCGTCGTTACCGTACTTCGATCATACCTGCAGACCTTTTTATCGGGTAATGAGTTCTATTCGTTGTAGCGTTGGCTTTATAGTGGGCTTAATGGATCTTGGATCAAATGGTTTACAAGTACTGACGATCAATGCCAACAAGCGTGTCACATATTTGCGATCACGCATGGGATCTGATCGACTCTATCAAGAGGCGTCTTCAAATAACTGTCTCCTGATCTCTACCAGATCAAGTCACTGTTCTCAGATAACTGAATCTCAATATAGGTTCAATCATGGACTTAGTAAAGAACTACACCCTCAGTAACACATAAACAGACCTATTTTTGATAAGAGCGGCGGTTATACGTTTAGAATTTCCAAAGTCCTTCAGAAAATACAAAAGAAAACCGCACAATTCCCGCACAAATTTCGAAAAAATCGTCGCACATTTGCCGCATAATTGATAAAAATTTACCGCACCTTACCGCACATTTTACCTTTATAGTCGGGTGCGGTACCGCATAATTTCGATTTTTTCACCGCTGGAGACTGGAAACCATTGACCTGTCATCCTGTCGCCGCACCAACCCTGGTCTCTTCGAGGATTTATTTCAGGTCCTCCAAAAACATGATGTGCTCCAAAAACATCCTCGAATTAACTAATGGGGACACGACATGAATACAGCAGCTTCGCAAAAAAATCAGCTAAACCAGTTGACCAAACTGTAAGGAAGTTGTTTTTTCCCCAATTTTAATAATGTTTATAGTAAGCATAGTTTTTAATTTTACTTTCTACTTTTTTATTTAATTTCCTTAACAATTTTACATTTCATAAAACAACAGTGTAATGTTATAATTAAATTTCAATACATTTTCAACGACGTGCATAATATATGTACCAGGTTTTTGTACCCGTTTTTTATACGGTTTTTATTTTTTGTTCATTTCAAAAAATAAGCATAAGAATACTTGGATTTGATGTTTCCTTGACCGGATCTCTGTATTTTTTCCCGTTATTTAATTTTTGGCATTGTTTTTTATTTCGTTGAGACCGGTCAAGAGACAATTTTACTATTTTAGAAAAATATATACAATTACATTGCGTCCTAATTTATAACATGCAACAAATTATTATTTGTATCGGTTTTATCATTGTTTTTATCGTTGCTTCTTGCCAATGCAAATAAAATTGTCACATTGTCGACCTCCTTTGCTGTTCATGCTTTTAAAATTTAAAATCATTATGACAATGATGATACATCTATTACAGGTTAAAATGACACCTTTGGATAGCTGAAAACTCTCACTTCCACATCTCTGACTGCTCCTTAAAACGATGTATATTGAGACTTAATAGAAGTATGCCTAAAAGAGCGCAACCGTCTGCCTCTTATGGTGGAGCGGTGAGTGGCAGTGGGCATCAAAGTGAAAGATCAGCCACTAATTCCAATCATTCACACTTGCAGCACCGTGTAAGAAATCGTAGGCCTAGGGGCCAAGAAGGAGGAAATGCAAGAGGAAGGGGACGAAACTACCGAAGAAATAGCGAGAGGCAACCAGGGCGAGTCGAAGCAACGACGATTTTCAGTCCAAGAAATTATTACTCTGTGGGCGATATGAATAGGACTCATCCTCAGAAAACATTCCCTCCAGACGCCCATTCAACAGTGCATCCTCCATTTCCAATACCTTACGGGATACCGCCTTGGCATCAATACTTAGGCCCGAACATAGGTTATCATGAACATTTTTACAATGATCAGTTCAAAGGTGTCCCTTTGAATCATTCAAAAGCTGCACAAGTTTCTGAGGAGAACTGCAAATCTGGAGCTAGTGATTTTGGAAAAAATAAGTTGGACGATAAAACGTCCAGTAAATCTCAGCCTGGACAGATACAAGCTGAGTACATCCAGGATTTGGTCGAAACCCGATCATCATTTGAAAAATTTAGTATAACTGTAAATTCAAGTGTCAAAAGCCCCATGCAAGTTTCAAGAAAAGACGAAACATCAGTGGATGAAAATAATGTCTCGAATTTGAAGGATGGTTCGTCATCAATTAAGGGATCACACGATAAAAGGAGTGTCTACAAGGATGATCAGATGAGGCCTCCTGTAAAGGTTGGTAAAACATTAACATTGATAAACCAATCAGCAGCCAAAGATGCTGTAGTTCCGATGAACTTTGGTATTGAACTTCTGGACTCAGTCACTCATAACAACATAGAACTGGTAGCAAATCAGGGAGCAAAGATTCGGGCAAACTCGGCCATCCTGTCACTGAACAGTCCTGTGATACATCACATGACCACAACACTAGAGCTACTCACGATAGATATGGAGGAGTTTAGTGAACAATCAGTTAGGTATTTTGTTGAAGCTGCATACACGGGCAAGTTTCCAACAATACCTAGGGAAGTGTTTAGGGACCTTAACAAGGTCGCTCACGCTTTCAAAGTGAGCTGGTTACAAATCAGCTGCTTCCAAATGTTTTCTGAGTTTACCGATGGAATACCTGACATTTTGCCCCCTTACCAGGACTTGTTATTTGTGTTTGAGGAGGCAGCTTACGTTTTGTCCTAACTAAGAAAGCGTGATTTTTTGGATGTGGCAATCGGAAAGGTAGCAACCAGTGACAGCAAGCAGATGTTTATTGGGAAGTATTTAAAGGATATTGGGGCACTATCTGACTATCACCTTGACATGGTTATAGAAATAGCAGGAGCTGAAGTAGATCTGATTGTTCAGCCTTTGAAAGAACACTTACTTTCAAAGCAGTTGAGTATTTTAAAAGATCAATTTGTAGAACAGAAAGAGGTGGAAGAAACAGCGATATCAGAAGAATGCAAATATCTGCTAGAAAACTGTGACCTCTCATCCTGCCGCAGCTATAGCCCTGACCTCTTTGAGGAACTGTTTGATATACTGGAGAAACTTGCAGAGTCAAAGGAGGACATGAAGTGGGTGCTACAACTTCACAGGAAACCAACAAACATTCCTGATGTTCCAACCCGCCCGGCAGCTCCTAATCCTGGAAAGAAAGGTATATGGCCGTTCTGGAAAAATTCGGATAATCCAGATGGCCTGGGGTAGGGGAGATGACTGCAATCGAGATTAAAGTTTGAGACAAATTTAATTTTAATGTGCGTTGTAAGCAAAGTTTTCTAAGTTACATTTCCAATTTCGATTTTATCCAGTTGATAATTTTGTGACAATGAAAAGTACTTACAATAGGGGAGCCATGTATTTTCTGACAGTGACGGATGACTAAAATTTAATCCTCAAATCAGTGACACGTGTCAAAACAAATATGATTCACCGCCCCACTTTTTAATCCAAGTTTAATTTTTTGATGTTTGATGCTTTGATTAAATCATTTTTTGCTGCCCCCTTTGTTGGTTTTTTATACAGATTTTGTAGTTAAAATTGTTATAACCTGTTTTTACCGGCGAAACTGCAAGCATAATGCTGACAGTGACAGCACTATACTATGCATTATGCAATCATTATGCTGACAGAGTCGAGAATATTTGATCTAATTCACTAATTGCTATACTTTGTCTTTATCGCTTTGTCGTAAGATGAATCACAATCTATCTGTATAATATAAGATTATCTCAGGATGTCCCCACCTAATTTAAGCTGGACCCGTGGACATCACCTTTAAAATTACAGAAAGTTTACAAAATATTAGGCATTGAGATTGATTTTTCAAAATATATATTGTATTTAATACCACACTATTACAATTGATATTGAATATCAATTATTGCAGGTCAAAATGTCACCATAGCTGAAACTATCTGCGTGGGCCGTGAGATTATGTCTGAGAAAGAGCAACCGCCGGCCACTAGCGATGGAAGTGACCGAGAAAGTCATCGTGGAAATGAAGTATTCTGCACTAATTCCAATCGTTCTCGACCTCGTTCGAGAACTCCAAGAGGCCAAAGACGAAGAAATGCAAGAGGGGGACGTGGTCGATACAAGGGAAGAAATGGCCCCTGGCGACCTGAGATAGTCGAACCAAGAAACGATTTGCATTTTCCTCCTGGGCAAAATGGTCACCATCTATATTTTCACAGTGATCTAAGCAATCCGATGATACCTTTTCCAACACACAGCCTTCCTCAGAGACCCCCTCTTATACCTCCCCCTATGTTGTATGGAATACCACCTTTGAATACAATCATTGGACCAAGTCCAGCTCAATCAGGAGATGGGAACCAAGTACAGAATCAGGCTGGACAAAGCCACACAAGAAAGAGACCGGAAAACGAACAGGCCAATACGTCTCATGTACCCAATACGACAGCTAAGATTGCACAGATAAAGAATGCTCATAAAAACAGGGACGTTAATTCTCCATCACAGACTGATGAAAATTCTCAGCCACTGAACAATAAGAATTTACAGAACAAGAAAAAAGATCCATCACAGATATCTACGAAAGATCACGTTCGATCAGAATCTAAAAAGAAATCAACTCTCAAAAATGAAATATGCGAAACACAGTCATCTCTTGAAAACTTACAAATAAGTAACACGGACCCCTTACAAGATTTCAGATCAGTTGAAGTATCTGATGATAAAAGGAGTGTTTTTAAGGATGATGAGCTGAGGCCCCCTGTAAAAAGTCGGTAAAACACTAACATTGATAAACTCAGCAGCCAAAGATGCTGTAGTTCCGATGAACTTTGGTATTGAACTTCTGGACTCAGTCACTCATAACAACATAGAACTGGTAGCAAATCAGGGAGCAAAGATTCGGGCAAACTCTGCCATCCTGTCATTGAACAGTCCTGTGATACATCACATGACCACAACACTAGAGCTACTCACGATAGATATGGAGGAGTTTAGTGAACAATCAGTTAGGTATTTTGTTGAAGCTGCATACACGGGCAAGTTGCCAGTAGTATCTGGAGAGATGTTTAGGGACCTCAACAAGATTGCTCACGCGTTCAAAGTGACGTGGTTACAAATCAGCTGCTTCCAAATGTTTTCTGAGTTTACCGACGGAATACCTGACATTTTGCCGCCTTACCAGGACTTATTATTTGTGTTTGAGGAGGCAGCCTACGTTTTATCAAAACTTAAGGAGCGTAATTTTTTGGAAGTTGCACTAGGAAAGATAGCAACCAGCAACAGTAAGCAGATGTTTATTGGGAAGTATTTAGCTGGTATTGAGACACTATCTGACTATCACCTTGATATGGTTGTTGAACTTGCTGGAGATGAAGTAGATCTGATACTTTTACCTTTAAGAGAACAATTTGTAAAGCAATTGGGGGTGGACAAAACAGTGATATCAAACGAGTGCAAATATCTGCTAGAACACTGTCAGCTCTCACTTTGCAGCCGTTACAGCCCTGATCTCTTTCAGCAACTATTTGATTTTCTGGAGAAGTTAGCGGAAGAGTCGACAGAGGATATGAAATGGGTGCTGCAGCTTCACAGGAAATCAGCCTGCAAATTTGAAGTGGCGCAATGCGCCCCAGCTGTTTTAGATGAAAACTCTAACAAAAATGAAGAAGATGATCTCGAAAAAACGACAGACAGTCCGAAACCAAAGAATTCTTGTAAGACTCAGTAATTTATAAAAAAAAGGCCAAGACTGATATGGAAGAGTTTAGCGGACAATTTGTATTTCTTATTATTTGAACTAAGCTTCCATTCACGGGATAGCTAGTTACCTGGCAACGCCCGCTCATGATGCTTCTCCAAGCTCACACGAGTGTATGCGAGAAGGAAGATATTCTTGCATTTCTGCACGAGGAGCCCATCACAGCTACCATTCATTTTTGTTAGAAATAGAAATAAACTTATAAAACGAGTGAGCGATCTAAAACAAGATAGCTCAGAAAAATCCCCGAATTCCTGGAAAGGAAGGGATTTTGTTAAAAGGTGTTTTGGAAAACATTTGATGACGTTTATCACAAACATAATTGAATTACAGTAATTCTATTTTTTCGATTAAATCATGTTGATAATTTTGTATTTGTACAAACTAATTTGGTATGAAGTGACAGTTTCAGGGGTCGTTCACATATTACGTACTAGTAACTGAGGGAAGTGAATGGGGTTGCTAGATAATTATGCCGGCCAAAAAGTGATTACGTAATATGTGACCGACCCCTTATCCGTAATTTTTAAATATCAAGTTTTACCGTACATGTGAACCCATTTTTGTCGAGTTTTTATTGGTTTATTTCAATTAATAAACAAGTAGAATTTATATATCCTTGACTTTCGTCTGTAGCATCTTCATCTTTAAATTTTCTGAGTTCTGAGGTATTGTAAAAACTTTATTGGAAGTTTTTGGGTTAAAGATTTTAGTAGTTCCTTTCAAACTGATTCTTGTTAGAAACCATAGAGTCATGAAAATGATGTTTAGTCAAAGAACCTAAACACCACGCTTTATTGTAACATTGAGACCAGTCAAGAAACAATTGTATCATACTTCCTCTATTTAATTGCGTTTAATTGTATAAAATATCATTTATAACGTAGTAACTTTTATGTATTTGTACCATTTGTATAGCTTGTGTACTTTTTGGACAGAACCGATTCCGTTATTTTCATGATAGTCACAATACATCGTATCAATCAAGGATGGCTTGTTCTCCCAAGTTCTATATCATGACTCACATAACATTATCTCAGGATGGCCCCACCCAAACTAGATCCCTGGACATCACCTTCAGAATGGCAGAAAGTGTACTCCCTCCTCTACTCCCCAGACGAGCCCTCCAAAAGAGAGGGTCTCTCCTTCGTGAGCATGTGGTCAGCCAGATCACAACGACTCCCTCTCTCCGTGGAGTGTACCGGGGAACTGGTAGCAGCCTCTCTTGAATCTGGAGACAAGACCGCTCAGATATCTGTGTACAGTCTCGCTATCATCAGGTTCGTTAACGGAAACATAGACCGAGCCCAAGGTGGGGTGTTCGCAAGATCTGTAGCCAGCGTGGCTGCGGGGATCGGGATACCAGACTGGATCATAGATATCCGACACGAGGGCACCCACAAGTCCTTACCGTGTCGGGAGAGGCTGAGAATGGCTGCTCAGTATGCACTCTACTGGTTGGAGGAGAAGTACTGGAAACCTCAGAACCAGTGTCTGGAGAACGCAGAACGCAAGGTACAGGAGTGTTTGGTCGGCTACATGGAGCTCCAGAAGAGACTTGAAGGTATGAAGAGAGCAGGGAAGAAGACTAATAAAACTGAAATTACACTTCTTGTGGAACAGATCTCGTCATTGTCCCAGTATGAACTGAGTTTACTACCTGTTCGGCTTGTAAAGTGTCTTGAAGACACTTCATTCTCGTTCTCGACATGGAAACCCTTGCTGGTTCAACTTGACAAGAACAAGCCAAATGTTGTGGCTCACATTATCTACGTGCTATGTGAAAATTATGCAATTAACTTTCAGCATCGTCTTAAAATTACCAAGTTTGTTGAGAGTATTATCTCTGAGATCTGTTTGGAGATCCCAGTATAAATCAGCACAGCTTGTATGTTGATGTTTTGCTGAAAAATCAGAACGACGAAAATACATGGTGGTTATCGAACGTTATTCTTCACCACTGCGGTGATCACGTGACGGGCAAGTATGCTAAACTGCGCAACCTGCTTGAAATTCGTTTTCTACCGAAATCCAGTGCTCCGTTCGATCACGATAACATTTCTAAGCAAGTTGAGAACCTTAAAAATGTATTGAAGCAGCTTGAGAAACAGTCTCCAATTAGTGGGGCAGATAATATGGGATCTAGATTTGTGACGTGTGATAGCGTTTCTTGGGAGTGTTTACCTATTGGATGTATTCCAGAGAGTATAACCCCTTCTTTGGACTTTGAGAGTGTAGCCCCAATTTTGGACTCCTATCAGCTTCAAAATGAAGTTATTACCAATCTTAGTTCTAAAACTCAGCCAGAAGATGATTACGAAATGGAAATTGATCAAGTTAAAAATCTCCATTGTTCAAGATACATAACTAAAGATCAATTAACTCACATCGCGTGTTCGGTTCGGATTTTAGATGATTTGGATTAATACAATTATTATGAAGTTCAAACTTTGTGTTTTAAAATTTGTAATTTATTGAATATCTTAATCTTATGAATTACCATCGTGTTTTATTCTACTTGTTAGCCTTTCATTTTCTGTCAAGAGTGTGCCTAAATTTGATTTATGCTCACACTTTACAGATGCACATTAAAGTTTTCACCCAATTAAGCTGACTCAGCTCTAAAAATGTACAAGTTAACAACATAGGTAAACTCGATTAAAGACCAGTGCACAGTTTTCTTGCAACTTGAATTATCCAGTCTATTTACTTGACTTAATTAGTTAATTACGGCTCCGAGCCACTGGTTTAATGTTATATTTTTAGCTAGAAGATAGAAAATGACAGCTGACAGCCACTGGTTTAATGTTATATTTTTAGCTAGAAGATAGAAAATGACAGCGGACGACGAGGTGCTCTGCTATAACAAGGGGTGTGGTAAAGGCTTCAACCCTCAAGAAAATGCGGAGGGTGAGACGATTGAATCTTGTTATTTTGTACCACTATATACGGCATTATTTTCGGCCTTAATAAATAGTTAGAAAACTGTCTGAGTTACTCAGCTGATGTTTACCAGGATTTAGTAATATCGTGAATTCAACCTTTTATCTTCCTAATTCTACAGAAATCCTTGAATTTGTTATAACTATACATGAATTGTTTCCTCTGAAATACTATGAAATAAATTTGTAGTGTTGCCTTGTTTCATAGTATACATACTGTTTTTAAAGTCTCATATAATATTAAAAATAATTACTGGACTTAATGAAAATAATAACCAAATGCATGCACATGTATTCAAACCAGTAGTCCCTTATGTGTACCCTCTATTTAAGCTGCATAAATTAAGTCCACAACAGATTGAGGGGAAAATAGTTCCCCCTACCAGGCTTGTCCATGCCACTAAGGAGGGCCCTCTTTACAGGCTAGAAAAGTGGGTTAGCCCATACCTAACAGATATAAGTAGGATTTATTGCCAACAGGAGTTTCTCCTGGATACACCAGACCTTCTCAGTAACATAAAAAACCTTAATGAATCGGCAGACATGTCAAAATATAGCACCATCAACTTGTTTACTTTAGACGTGATCAGTCTGTATCCAAGCATAAAACCTGAAATAGCTATGTCTGCATTGGAACATGCCCTGAACGGTAGTACTATGATTGATAAACGAAAGGCTATTCTGAAAACATTCACGGAGATTATCTTCACAAACTCCTTTGTCACTTTTCAAGAAAATGTGTACACAGGCAAAAAGGGTATCCCAACTGGAAATTGTATTTCGCGTCAAGTCGCTGATATCATGCTTCATTGGGTGCTATTCATCAACATCTGGCCTGAAATGATACAGCTATGGAGTCTTATTTTATTCTGGCGACGCTTCATCGACGATGTCTTTGGAATTTGGAAGGGCTCCAGGAGGCAATTTGATCTTTTTGTGTCGAAACTAAATGAAGCCGCAAAACGATTTGGAATTCAGTTCGGTGATTGTCAGTTTGGCAAATCAGTTAACTACTTGGATGTAGAACTCTCCCTGGGGGAGAACAACAACATCGACTACAGACTATTTAAGAAAGAGACTGATGCCAGGCTTTACCTTAATACTGATAGTTTCCACCCAAACCACGTCTTTAAATCAGTAGTATTCTCACAGATGATCCGAGTGATCAAGCGAAATTCGCAGGATCACACATGTGTGGAGGACCTGGAGGAACTTAAAGAAGACCTAATGAAAAGTGGACACAAGGAGGGGACCTTAACGGAAACAGAGCCTGAAGCAGTCTTGAGATCAATAGAACACGATTTGTATGAGAGGGAAGATAAGAAGCCAATCACTGACAAAGTTGTCTTTTCAGTGAAATTTTTCAAAGAGGTCACTGAACTTAGGAAGTTGGTACACTCTACTAGTGAGGACATCAAACAATTATGCGGAGACGTACAGATATTGTTTGCACTACGTAAACAGCCATCTATAGGCAACACAGTAGTGCGCAATAGAAAACTCAGTTCGTGCTCCGAAACGGATTCTTTCACCGTCAGCCAAAACTGTGGCGGGAGAGGCTGTGCAACCTGTCCCCAACTGTTCAACTCCAACGAAGTTATCACTGTCAATGGTTTGGATTTAACTCTGGATTTCCGGTTGACATGTAAGGACAGCAATATAATTTATGTCGCCCAATGCCAAATTTGTAATAAACTTCCCCAGAGCCTAAAAGACGATACCTATTTCGGCCAAACGGTTTCTCCATTTCATATCAGAATGAATGGACACAGAAACAAGTTTAAAATTGATAATGAATTGTCATTTGAGAAGTCGGCACTTTCCATGCATTGTTTTCTAGCGCATAAATCTGATTTCACTATGGGAGTTTTTAAATTAGGTGTAGTAAGAAAAGTCCGACCAACAGCACTTGATAGAGAAGAGAGCATTCTTATTTCAAAATTTAGAACTAATATTTTTGGGTTAAATAGGATTGTAGTTACTCGCTGAATAATCTGTTATGCTCTGTTGTCCATTCTACCTAGCACATTGAGCTCTTTAGTAAAGTTTCAGATTAAAATCTGTTTTAAATTTTCAAGTTGTTAACTTTTAAATTGCTTTCATTAGTCTAACCTAATTTTATTTTTATAGGCTAGTGATGTAAATATACGAAGAATTCACCTATATTTGTGCTGTCTTACTATGTGTCCAAACCAAATTGATTAAAAATAATTACAATATGTAGAAACTCAGCCATGTTTGTGATCCTTGCATCCCCTTTCTGCAGTGACCCCCTCCCAGTGACCCCCTCCCAGTGACCCCCTCCCAGTGACCCCCTCCTTGCAGATGAATGTGTATTCCACTGCGGAGCACCCGTGTTTCATGATGCCTACAAAAGCTGGTCGTGCTGTGAAAAGAAGACAACAGATTTCACAGAGTTCCTCAACATCAAAGTTAGTTCTTTTTTCGTATTTATTATTTGTTATTTGAGTTTAGATAAGATTCTGATTCTTTCATCACGTTTGATTATAAACACGAATCTTGCTGAGAAATCACAGCCGCCTGTGAAGTGTGCATTTGGTTGACATACATATTTAACAAATTATGCATTATGAGCATATTATGAGCATTTTATAAGCATAATGATGATAGTCATTAGTCATTACTCATTGGTCATGATAGGATTGAAAACAAAGGTGTGTTTTGACTTCCCGCACACCATGAATTCTATTGCTTGATATAAAGATGTGGGTTTTGTAAGTATAATTATTAACAATGAACACCGTCACCCTCTACCAAGTTTGCCTCAATGCTTAATGAACCGTTCCATATCCATTATCTTACAATAGATCCACCGCCCCTTGTTTCGTCGATGATTCCAGATATGAATATTGGTGGCCTTATTATAATAACAACACCATCGCCAACGCCAGTTGAGAACTACCACGTTATTCAAACACCGACCATATATATAATATGAATTATTAATGAAGCTCAGTGCACTGCTTCCGTAGCATATCACGTATCAGAATTTGTTAGGGCTCCATAATCAGAAACAAAGAGACTTCGTTCTCTGCAATGCAACAGTTCAAAAGTTCTAAACTTTTCCTAGAAAGTAGCTGATTCGACGATCACGAAAAGATAATCGATCTGCGGTAGCTTCTATTCTTTCGTCTGGCATAAAAGTTCAGATTTCAGCTGATCTGGCTTTAAATTCGGTCCAAACTCCAGGATTTTTCCAGAGTCGGATTTTTAAAATTAAGCGGTAGCTTACCTGAAATAAGCATTTTATAAAGCAAATTTTCCTTATAATTAAGTCTCAGATAATTGTGGACTGAGGCCATTCAATGTAATATTATCTATATCCCTAACTCTAAAACTACAATCAGGGTTGCTGTAAAGGCAAGCACAACAATGTGAAGCCGGAAGAGCCAGCAAAAGAAGATAAGGAAATAACACCGCCACCAGAAGCACCTAAACCACCGGAGAGGGTGGAGCGACCAAGCGAGGAGGAGCCCCTGATTCCTCTACCTAGCAGTGTGTCTGCTTCCCTGAGGAAGTTACTCGACAAGCTTGCTGTTTCTGATAAGATTGGTAACTACTAGTAGAACTATTGAAACCAAGTCTGCTTTACCAATAAATTTAAAAAGTGTAAACTGTAAAGACCAATATTTTATACTAGCGATGTCCATTTTCTCTCTACATCACAATAATATGTTAACTCAACTACTTGCCACCATTGTATGAGTTAAGTTTATGTTTATTTGCTCGTTATCCTGGTTTAATTACAGACGAAGTGGTTACGAAAGAGTCGATCTGTCAAAGGAAGGGATGTGGGAAGGCTAAAGTGGATGTCAGTGACGAAGAAGATTATGAGGGAACATGTGAGCATCATCCCGGGTGCCCCATATTCCACGAGGGTAAGATTCCAATTTAACCTTTATTCGACCGTTATTTGTTGTTGTTTAGTGGTTATCTTTGATTCAGCTTTATTTTACTGGAAGTGAAGTGAAGATTGAATTAAATACTTCTACATCTGGATTAATTGTTGATAGATTCATTCAAATTTTACCATAAATCTAGCTGCTAAGTTATTTGATCTTCACAATATTGGTTCTTTTTGCAGGAATGAAGTATTGGTCTTGTTGCAACAAAAAAACTACGGATTTCAATGATTTTTTGAAACAGAAGGGGTGTACGAAGGGAACTCATCTTTGGGGAGATTCATCACAAAAAAAGGTACAATCTATGTTTTACTCCCCAAAATTATGCATAAGATGACACCTAGCCTCAAAATATCATGGCTATTGGACGGATTCCCATCAAAACCTTATCTTTCTGGCCTTGACAAGTCGCAATATTTCAATGAATGATGGATTATCATTGTTTTCATCGCTTTTATTAAATAAACTCGCATTGACAATTAAATAAAGTAGCTTACGTCCATAACAGGCTCTAATTTGAGCTTGGTGCTGCATTAAAATCTGTGGTCCAGGGTCATGGTGAAAATATGTGGTTCCGGCTCCAGCTCTCTATGACAATTACATCCAAAACAAAATCATGTTCCTGGCCCGAATGAGATAATTGATGCTACATGAATAAGCCTTCTGTCCAAAGTTTTTGTTCGAGATACTAATTTTCGTCACCGTATCATTAGTCCAAAGAGTGGATTCCCGCCAGTTTCATTAGACTGGTCATGGTGGAATTAAGGGAGCTTCGTCATTCACCACCTTTAATCGAGAGATTATTTTTAGTTTATAATAGCAAAATCGGCTAGGTTATGAACAACGTATACATTGAGTATGATCTAATAGTAGTAAGTAGTAAGTGTGGTAAATGCTTTTATGATTAATGTCCCCCCTCAAGGGATGTATTCTGAAAAACTTCATCCCAACAGGCGGTACAATGCCGTTACGACTGGCATCAAACCGGTGACACTGTCAATTTTACTGTGTACGCTAAAAAAGTAAAACCTGAACTGTGCACCGTCAACTGTAACGCTGTTAAAGTAAGTGACGTTTTTAACATGCTTCATAATTGGCTCGTAATTGACCAATTTATCTTGTAGTTAACTTTAAACCGCGCCCTGATCATCGAAATCAGAGTTAGCAATTAGCTGATGGCTCATGATCTATAGTGGAGGCTCAGTTCCCCTTCTCTAACTATAATTGATAAGTCTGATTCGTATTATAAGAGTAGAAGCTAACGGCCGCTGCTTGCATAGACCTCCAATCAAAATGCTAATCGTCAGAACGGACTGAACGCCCTCACGACGCTAACTATCTTATCGTTTCAGTTACAAATGGAAACTCACTTCGGAGATGACCAGGTTTTTACATTCGATAAGGTCCTGGCTGGAATAATAGAACCTGAAAAGAGTAAAATAACGTACTCTGCAACTAAAGTCGAGGTATGGAACTTGTCCTTCTGATGAATCGTATTTTATATTTCAAAATGAGGCTGGCTTTGCTGTCTATTTGAAATTGTTAGATTAGGCACGTTTTTATTCTCAAGGAGCTGAAGTTCTGTGTGAAACTTATTTTTAACCGTCAGAACTGACTGGATCTCATTTTCAGGTGAAAATGCGAAAAGCAGAATTCTTTGCCTGGCCAAGTACTTTCGTTCTCTAGAAGACACCATCTGGTAACTGAATGATATAAAGTTCTAGGTTTTACTACGGACTGTCACACTGTTGCTCCATATTCTCTTAACGGACAGGAAAACGAAAAGGAAATTGAATCTCCTCTCTCTCTCTTTATAAGTGTGTGTCTGTATCTCTTTTGTAAAGCTCTATTTGTTTAACTTCCGCGTTTATGTTGTCAAAATATATCTAATTATGGTTAAATAATAAATATCCAGTTGTGATTATATGATCCAATAATAAAAACATTCCACCTCCATTAAAAATCAAATGGCTCCTGTCAATTACATGCGATGATAAGGGCTTTCTTCCCACTTGGAGACCAGACACCATTTACCACACAAGGAGAGATGATTAAATACCTGGTTGTCGTCCAGCGATTATACTACACAACCACCAATAAACCAACGTGGGTTCTTTTTGCAGGGTTGTATTAAGTGTCACGTTGTTGAATTAATGTGTTACCGATCTCCAGAGCTCACTAAGATTGAGCATGACTTAAAAAGCACTTAGAGTTAAAATACCTCGTACTACAAGTACATATTATATTCTGATGACATACTCATAGCTATCGCTTGGTTCAATATTCAAGGTATTTACTCAAACATCTCCGAGAATTTCGCTATCAGTTCCTCACTCAGTTCCTTAATTGCAAGTTGGTGTGAGTTTAAAGCTGTTCTGTTTACTTTCGTCCAATTAATCCAAAGCTGGGATTAATAAAGAAAGCATATAGAAAAGATCAAAAATGGCAAGTGCCCAGGAAAATATAGCAGCTGCCTCCCTACGATTGTATTAACGATAGTAACCATGGTAACAGTACCCCTCCGCTGGAAGTTACGCAGACAGTGAGCGGCCACCATGGAGGCCGGTGTTAAGGAGGGTGATATTTAAACCATTTACAGTGAGTAGTGACCACCGCCTTTATACTGATCAGCACTGCACTTAAGTTGTTCTTTCGAACCAGGAGAGCGTGATTTTAGAATTAGGGTAAAAGCATGATTTTAGGGTATAACTTGCCCCGTAGGATATATTATAATTACGTTTTGATTTCATGGTTTATATTCTTTGAATTATTTCCGGTAGCAACCAAGTTAAATGGACAAAGTGAGAGATTATGCTTTAGGATTTAAGTTTAGCGATTATCTCGATTAGAAGTTATGTGATTAGCTGCTTCACAACTTCGTCTTATATCTGAATGTCTGGAAACGCTTGGTTAATGTTTAACGCTCATTTGAATGTTATTGAACTTGGAAACATGCTGAACTACTCGCTCTCCGGTAACCGTGGTGTCTGCAGTTGCTGCTGCTGTTGCTTACTCAGCTCAGCACCGTGCCATTATTTTCACTGTCTCCCTCAGCTCTCCGCGTCCCCGGAGATGCTAGCGTCTTTAACAGCTTATATCACATACCAACAGATATATCACATACCATAATATCTACTCCCAACCCAACCTCGAATTACTTATAACGGGAAAGAACAGTATAATATCAGCCCTACGCTTGACAGACAATGACAGGCGGGTCAAGACAGGCATGTCTACTATTAGTTCCATTGTCTCCAACTCTGTACTCTGAACTCTCCACTTCAAATAGGCCGGTACAAGGGCTACATTTTCATAGTTATGAGCACGGTAATGAGTTTGTCAGGATTGTGTTGGATTAGAACTGCTTGAAGTCTGAAGCCAATCTAAACGTATCATTATAGATTCCTTTGAGAAGAATCGCGAAGAATCGATTTAGGATAGTTTCAATCAATGGGGGAGGGCACCTGGCAAATGGTGGATAGGTCACATGATTTTATCAATACATCGTACAAAAGATCCCCTGGTGCCCGCTTTGTCATTGAAAAAGGGCAGTTTTGGTGTGTTGCGAGCGCGTGCCGGCCTTTCTTATGCAGATAGCACCGATAATTGGAGACATAAAATCTTTTATTATCTGATCATTAATAATACAGATGGAAAGTCTTGTCACTGGGTCGCCACTTACACTGTTAGCTCGGTTAGGACCCATATTAATTGTTCTAAATGACTTTTTGTTTACTTGAATTCACTGACGTATGGTTTTGTAGAAAGCAGCTACGTTGTGCTCTATATTTGACATTTCTTTGTTTTCGTTGGGATCAGTTCTATAACCGGAGTCTTGTAATGGGGTGCCCCCCCCCCCCCCCCCCCCCCTCGTACTGATTATAATATAAATTGGGTGCGAAATCCTGGGATTGGTCCATTGCTTTTTTATCGTTATTTGTGAAATCGATCGGAAAACACGAAGCATCCGCATTCCAGCTGATTTACAGTTTTATTTGGAATGCAACAGAGAGAACGATCAGCGAAATGAATTGCCATTTAGTCCAAGTAGATAAAAACATGTAAGTAGATACTATCCCAGTCAATTAAACCCATACAACTCTCGTCCCACGCCCTGCCTATCTTCTTCCCCCCAAATTGAGGATACTAAGTGCCCTGATAAAATGTGATCCTGTACGGGTCTGCTACAGACTAACAGTTACCCGCTTGTGAGTCATGAGAACACATACAACTGCATGATCAATGGAGATTAGGAATCAAGGATTAGGGCTATAGGGCACCCCGTCGACTAGTTAGCAACCTATCACAATACGTATTGAGCCCATTGTGATCTACGGTAAAACTAGTCAATCGAAACATTTTATTTATTATCGGTAATAAATTCTCAGAGTTGGTGTCTAATTCCTCGGTAATAAAGTGAATTAGGAGGTGATGGGATTTGAATGGTCATCCTAATGTTTTAACATGGTCTGGACCCTGTTAAACAAGGCCAGCTCATTATCACTTCTTATTGAGCGTGACAAACTTTAATTTCCACTTGTCAGTTGCATCTGGATCTCTCCAACTTTCCGCTAGGAACGGAGTCTACTTATTTTAGGGGTTTTGTAAGTAGCGGCTGCTGGTTGGGAAGTGGGATTAAAGGAGGAAGTGAGAATGGATTGTTGAGAAATTTATGTGGGGTTTTACATTGTGGGCCGGAAATGGTTTTAGGGTTGTTGCTGTTGGTGGAAGCAGTTGTGTCAGCAAACCTTATGATTGAAATAACTTGAAATACCACGGACAAGTTCGAGCCACAAAACGTGTCCTAAGTCCTTCTGAACTTACATTATTGTAAGAATCCAGGACAAGTTAGAAACCGAATGACAGATAATCTCAACATGTAAAGAATACTGATATAACAGCTGGATTTTTCAGTGTTATATAGCCTGATATACAGCTATGCTTATATTGCATTGCCATTTGCGACATTTTGAACTTTGGTTCTACCAGTACCATAAGGTAATATCCGTCATAATAAGTAAAAATGTACAATCTTAGGTCGTCAACTCATAATATTCTCGAAATCTAAATTTAGGTGTACTTGAACCGTATATCATAAAAAGATAAAACAGCCTATAATTTTCATTAGTGCAGTGGCTACTGGCTTTGGGCCGGTTCGCACCACATTTATACTCCGCGCTATCACTTAGAACATTTACATAGTCAGTGGGTCAAATTCAATCACCCGCCGTGACAGAACCAGTGCTCGACAGAATAATGATTTAATGGCTGCAGAAGCTCTTAGTATTAAGAACGGAAAATGCTTTACTGATTTGGTGGATATGGCATGACTTAATTCTTTAATAGATTTAAAGATTGGCTGAAGACTCAGTTTAAAAATGGTTGAGCAAAATCATATTTTGTTCAATTTATGTTTGGGATCCCCTCATATCATATCCCCAGTTATAAGAGTTTCAGAAAAAGTAAATATTCATTTACTGGTTCTAACCGAACAGCTGGTTTTAACTTTTAACCGAATATGATATTTTCTGACAGTTCCAACTTAGCTTTTCAAACCCACATTTAAAACCACCGATAAAGACAAAAATATTTATACGTAGATTGTATATAATGACATATAATTATTACTATAAGTATAAGTGTAATTAAGTAGGAGCAGGATCGATAATTTTAATCCTAATGCTCCGCAAATATCAAGGAATTTGTGGAGTTTTTCGTGCAGTTGAACCTAGAAGTTAAGAAGTTGTTGAGTTATTTATGGTTAGTTCACTAGTTGGTTAAAGAGATTTACATATTTTTGTCTCGTTGTGTTGAGTACCGCAGCTGTTGGTAGTGATAATCCATTTAAATTCACCGTTACTTCATACTTTAAATCACAGTTTTCAACTACGACTCTACGAGTTTATTTTTGATATAAGTCTCTCATTTCATCTCCTTGGCCAGGTTCTGATCAAACTTTAGGAGGTATAAACACGAATAACTTTTAGAAAACTGGCACAGTAATCCACTTTCTGGGCTTACACGTTTTGCTGGATACTGGTAGCACGCACACGCACGTTGCCATCAGGCATCCATTCTATCGTAAAGCGATCGCAGTTTTCGTGATAAGATGACGAGTTATGACTGCAGCTATACCATATACCTTGTCGGCGCGGACGTAATTTGACCGGATGTTGCTCAACGGATATAATTCTGAACGGACATTAATATAAACGCTCGAAGGTTGAAGGAATTTCTGAAACTTAAAAATCCCAAATATTTTCTTGAAATTGACATTTGACCGAAATGTAAGAAAGTCATATCTTATTCTTGGATGCTAATTTAGAATGGAATGCTTTCGAGAAAAATTTGAACAGAGTTTAACTTGGACGTAAATGGAAGACTTTATTTGAACGGACATAAATTTAAACGCTACTGCTAGGAGTAGGGCCTCCAGCGTCCACATGATGTCCGTTCAAATAAAGTTCAATTCGGTAAGGTACATCAAAATACATCCTTTAGCCGGAATTGTCATTATGATTTCTAGCCTATCTTTTCTTCCATATTGTATAAATGGCACTGTTAGAAACAACTGTTAAATTCCCTTTTCTTACAGCTATACGGGATGTGCTCTATTGTGTATATGTGTTTTATCTTTTATTGACGTGGATTGACTCTTCGTCACGTTTAGATTCCCGCCATTTTATCCTGTCATTTACGTGACATATTTCGGTACCGGATATATGCCTCAATCGGGGATTACCTCACTCACAATCAATCAATTGAGCATTCTCTACTTTTTACTGCAAAATAATTTGAGGAGGTCAACACTTTTTTTGGGGTCTAATTCTTTCCGACTAATGATCCTTACCAGATCAA